GACAGACAAAATTTCGCGCTAACGACTTTCATTTTCCTGGCCTGCCATTTATTCTTTGGGAGCTCACCTGTCATGATGTATTGCTTTATTGGCTCCCTCCAGTCAGCCCCCCAGTCTTTAGCCGGAATTTGATCAACTTTGTGAAATATCCGCGGCTCTGGTTCGGGATGTTCGTGTGGTTCAAGAATATTTTCCTCGAGTAATGGCTCGGTTTCTAACATCGTTTCTGGAATCATTTCTTCAGCTAAGACAACGGGTTCCTTGTTAGATGTATTTGATCCTTTTGACTTCCTGCGTTTGTTGGGTGGCGGTTCGATCTCTGGTTCGCCACGGTCGCGTGCCGCTGCTCGAGACCTTGTAACGACGAGGGTTTCCTTGCTGTCTTGAATGCTTCGCTCCGAGATGCACTCTACTGGAATAACTCTCTTTAACTCAGGATCTGATGTTGACGCCAAAGCGACAAGTGCATCTGCAGTTGTATTCTCTCCCCGAGGTATGCGGATTAACTCGAATTTCGAGAAATTTTTAGATAGATCCTTCACCACTTCGAGGTAAGCTTCCATTCTTGAATCTTTGGCTTCATAGTCTCCATTAAATTGGTTAACTACTAATTGCGAATCGCAATAAGCCAATATTTCCTTAGCTCCAACTCCTGGTGCTAGTCGAAGTCCGGCAATAAGGGCTTCGTATTCTGCCTCGTTGTTGGAGGCATTGAATAACAATCGGAATGATTGTTCTAGAATTTCTGATGTCGGAGATTCCAACCTAATTCCCACTCCGGATCCTTGCTTTGTTGAAGACCCATCTACGTGTAATTTCCAAGTTTGGTTCTCCGGTTGATCTATCGTTCCAGGTATTGGTAGTTCGGTCAGGAAGTCTGCTAAGACCTGAGCCTTCATACTGATCCGGCTTTTAAACTCTATGTCGTACTCGCTTAATTCCACCGCCCATTTCGCCAAACGTCCGGATTGACTTGGACTATGAAGTATTGTTCTGAGTGGTTGGTTAGTTAATACCTCAACCGGATGGGACTGAAAATATGGACGCAGCTTCCGAGCCGAAGTTACCACCGCGAGTGCAAGTTTTTCCATCATTGTGTATCTGGTTTCCGGATCCGTCATTGACTTGCTCACGTAGTAAATTGGTTTCTGCTCCCCACGGTCTTCCCGAACCAAGACTCCACTAACCGCGTGGTTTGAAACTGAAACGTACAAGTAGAGTTTTTCATCCACTTCCGGTTTGGACAGTATAGGTGGAGTGGTTAAGTATGCCTTAAGCTGCCCAAAAGCTTCTTCACACTTCTCATCCCAAAGGAATCCTTTGTTCCCTTTTAGAATTTGGTAGAAAGGCAACGACTTATCTGTTGACCTCGAGATAAAACGATTCAAGGCCGCAATCCGCCCAGTCAACCGTTGTACTTCTTTGAAGTTTTTCGGAGATGGCATGTTTAGAAAGGCGTTAATTTGATTTGGATTGGCTTCAATCCCTCTTTCTGTCACGATGTAACCAAGGAATTCCCCGGATGGGACTCCAAATGTGCACTTCGCCGGGTTCAGCTTCATTTGATATTTATTGAGAATATCAAAACATTCCTCCAAATGTTTAACATGATCCTCTTTCTTCAACGATTTAACCAACATATCATCTATGTAGACTTCCATAGTCTTCCCGAGGTGATTGTGAAACATTTTGTTCACCAACCGTTGGTAAGTCGCTCCTGCATTTTTCAAACCAAAAGGCATTACCTTGTAACAGTAGATACCTCTATCTGTGATAAATGACGTCTTTTCTTGATCGTCGGGGTTCATCATTATCTGATTATAACCCGAGAAGGCGTCCATGAACGTTAACAGCTCATTTCCAGCGGTGGACTCTACAAGTCGATCTATATGCGGGAGCGGGAAACTATCTTTGGGACATGCTTTATTTAGGTCTGTAAAGTCGATGCAAACCCTATCTTTCCCATTCTTTTTCTTGACAACGACAGTGTTTGCTACCCACTCCGGATATTGCACTTCTCTTATGGACCCTATCTTCAAGAGTTTATCCACTTCGTCGTTTACTATTTTTGCCCGAGCGAAAATGAGCTATCCTCTGGTGCTATCAATGCCCATATTTCTTGTAGTGTACGTTTAGTTCATGACAAATTATACTCGGATTTATGCCCGGCATGTCCGCTGCTGACCATGCAAATGATGCTTTGTTTTTCCTTAAGAGTTCGATCAAAGCTTCTTTTATTTGGCCAGTCAAAGTTGCTCCAATTCTAATTTTCCGGTCCGGCTTGTCTTCTTCCAGTACCACTTCGACTACTACATCCTCTTTCTTCTGCCCACTAGGAAATTTTGTTTTTAGTCCTTCTTTTGCGGGCTTCGTTAATTGCTATTGAATCTTCACACGGTGGCTAGCTAAGTAACAAGTCCGTGAAGCTTCTTGATCTCCCCGAATTGTTTCCACCCCATTTGATGTTGGAAATTTGATACATTGATAATATGTAGAGGGGACTGCTTTCATCCGATAAATCCAGGGAGTCCCGAGGATGATGTTGTAAGCAGCGGGCTTATCGAAGACAACGAAGTCCACGATCTTCGATACCTTCTTGGCAAGGACCGGTAGCTTGATTGTTCCGAGAGACATGGCTGACTCGCTTGTGAATGCAACTAACGGAGATGGGGGTCCTACTATGTCTCCTCGGCTGATTCCCATTTTTTCTAGAGTACTTAAAAAGATCAAGTCGACCGAACTGCCTGTATCTATAAGGATCCTTGATACTTCGAAGTTTGCGACGTCAAGAGTAATGACTAGAGCATCGTCATGCGGTCTTTCGAGATGCCGCGTTTCTTCTTCGTTAAATGATATTGAAGCACCTTGAAAATCAATTTCTTCACTCAAGCTTGCTTTGAGTAAGACATTTCGTCTATGTTTTTTGATGGAACTTATTGAATCTCCGCAAAATCTGGAACCTCCTAGAATCACATTGATCCTCCCCTTCGAACTTCTTGGTTCTTCCTCGTTGGATAACCTTGGTCTTTTGGAATCTTGATCTTTGGAGTTTTCCTTTGCTTCGTGGTATTCCTTCACAAAATCTTTTATATCGAATTTAGAAAGATCACCACTAGCCCAAAGCTCTGCGAGGTGCTTTTTAAGAATGCTGCAATCCTTGGTTAAATGTCCGGTTACTTTATGAATGTCGCAATATAGACTTTCATCACGGACCCAAGTGTTTGATCTTCCTTTCCCTTGGAATTGCTTCCCGACGGAATTGTTGAAGGGTTGCGACCCAAACTTCCTTGGTCCTTTGCTCTCTCTAGGCTCGAACTTCTTGGTAGGGACGGTGACTGCCGGCTTTTCTTGTTTATTCCGTTTGGCAAAACTTTCTTTTTCGTCTTCTACCTCCATCCAATTGTTTGCACGGAAGAGTGCATCCTGAATTGTATCTGGTTTATGAAGTATTAAGTCTTCTTTAAACCTTGAATCATGTCGCAATCCTTTTCGTAGGGCAGATAAAGCTGATTGCTGTGAGATTCTTGGGAGTTTTGATAGCACCCCTTTGAATTTGGTGATGAAAACTCGAAGTGACTCATTAGATCCTTGCGTTAAGTTCCAAAGATCGGCATCCGAAACGCTTTTATCCATAAGGATAGAGTATTGCTTTAAGAACACGGCTGACAGTTCGTCGAAATTGCTGATCGAACCCGGCTCTAATTGGGTGAACCACATTAGAGCTTGGCCATATAGATTCTCCGAAAACAGCTTGCAATAGCCTGCGTCCTCATCAGCTTCATCCAACTCGACTCTTCCTGCAGCAATCAGAAAGGCTGCAAGATAGCTTTTTGGATCCTCCAATCCGCTGTAAGGGTCCAACTTGAGCTTCCGGGAATCTTTGATCCTCAAACTTGCAATTCGCGGGATAAAAGGGGTTCGCCTTGCTTCTTCAATGACTCGATTGATGTCTGGCTCCGAACTTGTAGCCTGATGAAATTTTGATTTCATTTCTTTTAATTCCTGGCTAACCTTCTTCATGGTCTCGAACTGGTCGAGGTTCTCCTGCTCGTACTGAGCTGCAAGTTGTTCTTCATCCCCGAGCTGCGTCTCTTCTTCCGACGTCTGAGCTACATTATTTGTAGCACCGGGAGTTGTTTGTCCGCTGGTTTCATTTCGTGCAGCGGAACTTGGCGAGTTGAATATCCCTCTCCGGGTTCCCACTGGGTTTCCTGCACTTAAAGAGCGAACACGAGTTTGTATATTATTGACGTTTTGACTAAGAGATACCTGGGATGTTTGCAACGTATCGACGGCCTTCTCCACATCCGAAAATTTTTGTGATATGTCCGACATGGTTTGCTGCATAGCTTTGAGGGTTTCGGCCAATGATGTCTCAACGGCGTCTCCTCCGGACATTGTCGCTTATCTCGGGAATGTAGAAAAGAAGAAATCTGACCACTCAAGAATCCTGATATTCCCCACAGGCGGCGCCAAAATGTGGATGTCGGATTCACACACTCAAGTATTTTGTTAAGTGGGAAAGATTATTCTTGAGGGACAAAAATGAATACGTAAGAACTTGTAAATTGATACGAGAATTGCTATATTATTTCTCTCTTCAGAGGAAGATGCCCTTTACATGGCCATTGGCCTCTATATTTATACATAGATATATAAGCGACATTAAAATGGATAATTAAGTACAATTATTCCTTCTTAAATGTGTCAGTTTTGATTCTTCGACTTTAATGCTCAACGTTTGAATTTGAGTTGACTCTGATTTTCATGGGCCTCGCCTTTTTGGCTCAAGTGTCCTTGAACCGACCTACCCGCGTCTTCTACACCGAACTCACATCTCAGTGCAGTCACTTCGGACTCTCGAAGTGGTGACAACCACTTCGACCGTCCCCTCGGTTCATGGGCCCAATGGGCTTCATCTTTTATGGGCCACCCGCTTGACTACGTGGCAATCTTTGGTTGGTCTCGTACTTCTGGTGCGGGATCCGACACCAACAATGGTGAAAACGAGTCCGTGGAGGAGACAAGGAAGCAACTTAAGTGGGAAAACGATGACTACATATGTCGTGGCCACATTCTCAACGGTATGTCTGATTCTCTCTTTGATGTTTACCAAAATGTCGAATCCGCAAAGGAACTATGGGATGCGTTGGAATCGAAGTACATGGCTGAGGATGCTTCTAGTAAGAAGTTCCTCGTGAGTGATTTTAATAATTACAAGATGTCCGATTCAAGCCGGTAATGGAGCAATACAATGAATTGCTTCGCATCCTAGGCCAATTCGCTCAACACAACATGAACATGGATGAATCCATTTCGGTGTCGTGCATCATCGACAAGTTGCCGCCTTCATGGAAAGGTTTTAGGCGCATGTTAAAACACAAAAAGGAAGAGTTGTCTCTTGTACAACTTGGTAGCCATTTGCGCATAGAGGAATCTCTAAGGGTGCAAGAGGGTGGAAAACCCAAAGATAAGGAGGCTGAAACTTCTTCAATCAATATGATGAAGGAGAGTGGGAGTTCTAAGATGAAGAACAAGGGGAAGAAACGCCCCTTTACTAACAACACCAATGATGGATCTAACAAACGATTCAAGAGCGTTTGTTGGATTTGTAACAAGCCGGGTCACTTCAAACGTGATTGTCGGGCAGCAAAGGATAAGAATAAAATGCAACAAAAGCGTTTTGGGCAAGGGTCTAAGGATCAAGACCCGTCCTCTCATCAAGGTCAGAATTCTGTTTTTGATTTACACTCAAAAGTGTATTATGTATCAAAAATAGCTGAGGTATTTTATGTGCAGGATGATGAGGTGGCATGGTGGATTGACTCGGGTGCAACAATACATGTTTGCCAGGATCGTGGCTGGTTCAAGACGTATGAGCCGGTTCAAGATGGATCCGTACTCTATATGGGCAACGAGTCAACCGCTCCTATCCTAGGTCGTGGAAAAGTGGTGCTAGAATTTAGTTCCGGGAAAACTCTTGATCTTAATGATGTAATTCATGTACCCGGAATTAGGAAAAACCTAGTCTCCGGTAGTGTTTTAAATAAGTGTGGATTTAAACAAGTGTATGAGTCGGATAAGTATGTCTTATCTAAGTGTGGTGTCTTTGTTGGATTTGGATATTTCTGTAATGGCATGTTTATGCTTAATATTAATAAAGTTGTCAATTCTATTTACATGGCATGTTCTAGCAAAAATGATACTTCTTTATGGCATGCAAGATTAGGCCACGTGCATTATAAAGGAATGATTGAAATGTCTAAAGAAGGATTAATTCCTACTTTTGACGTGAATATAGAGAAGTGTAGAACATGCATGTTGACTAAGATAATTAGACAACCTTTTAAAAGCATTGAAAGAAATTCAAAGGTGCTTGAACTTATTCATAGTGATTTATGTGACATACATGCTACATCATCTTTAGGAAACAAGAAATATTTCATCACGTTCATTGATGATTATTCTAGGTTTTGTTATGTGTATTTATTGCATGCTAAAGATGAGGCCTTAGAAAAATTCAAGGTTTATAAAACCGAGGTTGAATTACAACATAGTGACTTGGTTAAGAAGTTGCGCACCGATAGAGGTGGAGAGTATTATGATCCTACATATTTTCAGTCCGTGGGTATAATACACGAGACTACGGCTCCGTATACGCCACAACAAAATGGTGTATTCGAGAGGAAAAATAGAGTTCTAAAAGAAATGGTTAATTCCATGCTATCTTACTCGGGATTAAGTGACGGATTTTGGGGTGAAGCCATGTTAACGGCTTGCTATTTATTAAATAGAGTTCCTAACAAAAGGAACAAGATTACCCCATATGAACTTTGGTACAAAAAGAAACCAAATTTGAACTATCTTCGAGTTTGGGGCTGTAGGGCGATCGTTAGATTACCCCAACCAAAGATTAAGACTTTGGGAGAAAGAGGTATTGATTGCATCTTTATTGGTTATGCATTGCATTCCAAGGCATATAGGTTTTATGTCATAGAACCTAATGATTCTATAGCGGTTCACACCGTAATTGAGTCAAGAGATGCAATATTTGATGAGAATCGTTTCTCGACGATACCTAGACAAAAGGATTTAGTTCCTAGTTCAAGTGGAACAAAGGAAGGAGACGACACGTTCGTTCCTCCTAACGAGTCACCTACGCTTCGTAAGAGTAAACGAGGGAGAATCGAAAAATCTTTCGGTCCCGATTTTCAACTTTACTTAGTTGAAGGGACAAGAGATGAGACTGGTTTCCAATACTCATATTGTTATCATATTGATGATGAACCTAGAACTTTTAGTGAGGCTATGATGTCTAATGACGTTATTTTTTGGAAAGAAGCCGTAAATGATGAAATGGATTCCATCATGGGAAATAATACGTGGTTCTTAACGGATCTCCCACCCGGTTGCAAGCCTTTAGCCTGCAAATGGATCTTCAAGAAGAAGATAAAAGTCGATGGAACGATCGACAAGTTTAAAGCTCGGTTGGTTGTTCAAGGTTTTAGACAAAAGGAAGGCATTGATTATTTCGATACATATGCTCCGGTTGTTAGGATCTCCTCTATAAGGTTATTAATTGGTTTAGCATCCATTCATAACCTTGTGATCCACCAAATGGATGTCAAGACGGCATTCTTAAATGGCGTCTTGGAAGAAGAGGTGTATATGAAACAACCCGAAGGGTTTGTTATGCCTGGTAATGAACATAAGGTGTGTAAGTTGGTAAAGTCATTGTATGGTCTAAAGCAAGCACCTAAACAGTGGCATCAAAGGTTTGACGAGGCTGTCTTGTCAAATGGGTTTGAATTAAATCAGTCGGACAAGTGTTTATATAGCAAATTTGATGATTCCGGTAATGGAGTGATCATTTGTTTATATGTTGATGACATGTTGATCTTTGGCACCAACCTTAGACAAGTAGAACTTACAAAAGAGTTCTTGTCATCAAATTTTGCCATGAAAGACATGGGGGAGGCGGAGGTGATTCTTGGAATTCGAATCAAGCGTGAGAACAAAGGAATATCTTTAACTCAATCACATTACATTGAGAAGGTGCTTAAAAAGTTCAATTATGAAAATTGTTCTCCCGTGAGCACTCCCATGGATGCGAGCGTGAAGCTTATGCCTAATACGGGACAAGCGGTATCACAACTCGAGTACTCACGAGTAATTGGTTGCTTAATGTATGTCATGACTAGCACTAGACCGGATATAGCTTTTGCGGTAGGAAAGTTGAGTAGATACACTAGTAATCCTAGTACTCATCATTGGCAAGCTATAAGGCGGGTGCTCAAGTACTTGAAAGGAACCATAAACTATGGTTTATCATATTTTGGATTTCCTTCGGTCTTAGAAGGATATTCGGATGCAAGTTGGAACAACAACGAGGATAATCATTCTTCTACAAGTGGTTGGGTGTTCCTACTCGGGGGAGGTGCCATTTCATGGGCATCAAAGAAACAGACTTGTATTACAAATTCTACTATGGAATCGGAATTTGTAGCATTAGCGGCTGCAGGGGGAGAGGCGGAATGGTTAAGACACCTAGTCTCCGAGATTCCATTGTGGCCGAAACCGGTGTCACCCATTTCTATCCATTGCGATAGTCAAGCTACTTTGGCTAAGGCCTATAGCCAAGTGTATAACGGTAAGTCGCGACACCTAGGCTTAAGACATAGCGGGATACGTGAGCTGATCACTCATGGGGTGATTACTATAGGATTTATTCGGTTTGAACAAAATCTAGCGGATCACTTGACAAAAGGATTAGCTAGAGACTTGGTGATCAAGTCGGCTAAAGGGATGGGATTAAAGTCCATTTGAAATCTCTAATGGTGGGATACCCAATTCCCCTCTAATACAACGTTAGAGGCTGAATTCAATGCGGAAAGCCCACACTTAGAGATTGAAGCACTAGTTTATATCATCCCAAAGTAAGTGCTTAGATCTGCAAGAAAAGGTTAGGTTGAAGTTTTCTTCTAAATAGATCTTTTGAAAAATTGCATTTTGCAGATGCAAGATTAAAAAATCTACCTATATGGGTGTGAAGTGTAGCCGCTTCAATAAGCTCGGACTTGGCTTTGTATACTCTCATGAATGGATAAGGACACATGGCTTATAATAGTGTCAAGGATAAACAGTTAGAGTAGTGAGTGAATTCGTGTGTGTATTATCTTCATGTGCTCAAAATGAGTTGAAGGATTCAATCCGTAGGACATCCTAATTCTCGGGCATTTGGAATGTGTAATATCACTAAGATGTAAATTCAATCGTCGTCACGACATTTACATTTATGCATGAGTTTGGTTTATGTGTTGTTAATTTTGTGAATCAAAGATTACACTTAAATGGGGGAGGAATGTTGGATATTTAAGTGTACGTGATACTTAAGTGTATGTACATCGTCGGTTATTCACGAATGTTGGATATTTAAGTGTACGTACATCGACAGTTAGTGTACGTACATCGACGGTTATTCACCAACCATCGCACCTTTTGTACAAACGGTTATTATATTAAACGTACGGTTGCAAACGTATGTGAAAACCGTTGATCACTATAAAACTCTGTTTCTCTGGTGTCAAAAGGGACAGAGAAGAACAGAGCACGAGAGTTTCACAAGATCAAAGATTGAAAGAATCTTTGGATATAAACACATAAACAAAACACAAATCTCTATTTGTTTCTCTTGTATCTTAGCCTAGAACAAGAGAGAACTTTGATTGTCTTATCCTACAAGGGATTTCGTGTAACCCAAGGCTTGAGAAAGGTCGAAATACTCTTTAAGGAAAGTGCTCACGTGCGCGATTCAATCATTATCCAAGTTCACATTCGTTACGTCCCGGAGTTACAAAGCCTGTATCCACAACACTTGATCTATACATTTCTAATACCATACTGCTACATTCCATCTCTAATTCGAAACGTTTCAATATAAAACGATGCAAGCATATAAATCAAATATTTCCGGAGGCAAGAAGTATCTTTAATTTAGGCAGACTTAATTGTCTCTGCAATTTTGGTCATGCGCTCAATTTGTTTATCTCTTGGAGGAATACATCCCCTCACGGCCTCAACTTCTTCCAAATTCTTGATCCATCTATTTAATTCCGGAAACTTCTCCCCTGGAATCATATCAATTCCTATACCTTCCCAAAGTCTAGCTAGACAAAATGGGATCATACTTCCTGCGATCATGTCCAAGAATCCGATTGTCTTGCCGCCGAAGAAATCTTTTCCAGTGACTTCTTTCTCAAGAAACGTAAGCATTTCCCTAGTCTCTTCAATAGCAACCTCTCTTCCTTTCTCTGCTTTTACCAGGGACCTGAACCCTAGTGTTAGGATCTGCAAGTTATGATCAATATATAAGCAAAAGAATAATATTTTCTTATGCATAGAATCCTGATTTAAATGTTTTTTCAATTAATCTGCAAAACAATATTAATATACCTGCTCATCAATGAACTTGGCCCAGAATCGAGCCATGGCTTTCTCGTAAGGATCTTGAGGAAGAATTGGATTGTTCTTCCATGTCTGATCGATGTATTCGAGAATCAGATGTGACTCGAGTAATATTTTATCATTGTGGACAAGAACCGGAACTTTCTTGTGAAGCGGGTTTAGCTCAAGAAGCAAAGGGGTCTTGTTGGGTAAATCTTCCTCCAAGTATTCGTATGGTACGCCTTTAAGTTTGAGAGCCATCTCGACTCGACGACTAAAAGGGCTTGCCCAAAACCCTAGAAGCTTCACACTCTCTTCTTTCTCAGTCATTCGATCTCTCTCGCTTTTTGGTATCTAACTCCTCTGTTTCTTGCACTACTTTTCTCTTTGTGTTTCGTTTACTTGATTGATTACTTTAGTTTACTATATATTATATATATAAATGAGGTTATGAGTGGTGCAAATAAACAAATAAATAAAAGGACCATTTTGCTTTCTTGTCTTCGTATCCGAGGATATCTTGAAGATCAAACCAGAAAATAAACAAATAAATAAAAGGACCATTTTGCTTTCTCTTTGTATCCGATGACCGATGATATCTTGAAGATCAAACCAGAAAAGGATTAATTTATATTTTAAGGTATGCACGTCATTGCCAACGTCATTCGTCTTATTGTTTAAGATATTTGACTAATACTTGAGAGTTTCTAATCTCCAGTCAATTAGATGACCAAGAAAAAACAAATCTCCAAATGATTACGTTATACAATTTATATTTTAAGACTCATTTGTTGAAAAGGTTAAAAACTGAGAGATTAGTGTGTCGATTATGTTTGTAACATACATATTTGTTTTGAAGAGTCTATTTTTTGGCCAATTCATTGTGTGCCAAACATTTGAAGGAGACCTAATAAAGATCTTCATGATCATACATAGAGGTCAAAGTGGTTGGAGCCACATGAGCCAAATGTAAAAATTAGAATCCTCATGAACTTTGATCATGTGTGTACTTAACAACTGAGATCCCAAGAGTAAAACAAGAAACAATAACAAAATATGAAGCAGCCGCATCGGAAAAAGATCCCTTGATTTAGGGGTTGATGCAGCAGTATCTTTAACCCCTTCCTCCATCATCTCCATCACCATCGCTTTAATCTAAAAGCTCCAACTTGCTTACTTATAGCCAGATGCGTAAACAGAGAAAACTTTCACCCACCATTCGATCCCCACCCAAAAAGTTTTTGCGGATCAATTACTAACTTTGTTAGTGTTTTGAAGGTCAAATTTGACATGATCTCAGGGATATGATATAGTATAAGAACTAGACATGCATCCGAATTTCGAAGATCGAAATGCGTATAGGTTAGAAGATTCAAAAAACATTTCTAAAATTTTCTCCCACCAAAAAAAAGTTTCGGCGGCCAAAAGGATTAGAAAAGATTCAACAACGGCGAAACAATAACTCACTTGGTTAGCATCGTTATTTTACAGTCAAATTAAACATGATCTCGTGCATATGATAGATTGTAAGAACTAGAAAGGCATCCAGATTTCGATAATCGAAAGTCGTATGGGCCGAAGATATAAAAAAAAATACATTTCTAAAATACCGCCATCCGATCTCACTTGCTTGTAGTACCTAACTCCTCCGTTTCTTAACTTATCTAACTACTCTGTTTTTTTTTCCCCCCAATAGTTCTGTCTTTTGTTAGCTTGATTGATCCCTACTTAATACTTTACTAAATATAAATGTGGCTATGGGTTGTGAAAATGAGGATGTCGTTGGTAAATATATTAATAAAAATACCATTTCGGTTTATCTTTGTATCCAATATATCTTGAAGATCAAACCAGAAAAAGACGGTTGACCTTGCGACTGAAGTAGAGAGAGCTGATCGTTTGTCCCGCGAGACGAGAGGTACTAGTCCGAGAGTCGAAAGAATGATTGCTTGGAAACCACCGACGGGGGAGTGGTGGAAGCTGAATACTGACGGCGCTTCTCGGGGTAATCCGGGGCTGGCTACCGCGGGTGGGGTCTTACGGGACGGTGCTGGACATTGGCGTGGCGGCTTTTCACTGAACATTGGTGTATGTTCGGCGCCACTGGCTGAGCTATGGGGGGTATACTATGGTCTCTACATAGCCTGGGAGAGGGGATGCAGGCGGTTGGAGTTGGAGGTGGACTCGGAGTTGGTGGTTGGGTTCTTACAGACGGGGATCAATGATTCGCATCCTCTGTCGGTCCTGGTACGCTTGTGCCATGGCTTTATTTCTAGGGACTGGATAGTCCGTGTATCGCACGTTTATAGGAAAGCTAATCGTCTCGCTGATGGGTTGGCCAACTATGCTTTTACTTTGCCTTTAGGCTTTCACGCTTTTGATTTTGCTCCACCTTTTGTGGAAGCGTTTGTTGAGGATGATGACCGCGGAACTGCGTTTCCAAGGCATGTCCGTTTGTAATTTTTTCAAGTTCATTAATAAGATACAGAGAGGCTTGACTCCCTGTTTCTTACCAAAAAAAAAGAAAAAGACGGTTGACTATTTGTAAATTTTTAAGGCATGCACGTCATTGCTAACAACATCACCAAATTTTTTCTTTTTATCTTTAGTCGAACCAGATTAAACAAAATACTCTACTAACTCCACGCATATTTGCCCATCCTTATTTAGTTAAATCGTTCATAAAACTTTTAAATAAAAAGGGGATACAATCATACAAACATATATGAATCAACGAGTATTTATGTTTGTCTCTTATAGGCCGATTTAACTCTCTCTTCATTTCTTTTCAAGTGCTTAATATGTTCCTCTCTTGGAGGTACACATTCCCTCACGATCTCACCCTCATTCAACTTCTTGATCCATCTATTTAATGCTGGAAACTTCTCCTCCGGAATCATATCAATACCCATAAATTCCCATGCTCGAACTCCACAATACGGAATCATACTTCCGACAATCATGTCCAAGAAACCGATAGTCTTGCCTCCATAGAAATCTTTTCCGGTGACTTCCTTCTCAAGAAACATAATTAGTTCTCGAGCCTCTTCAATTGCAACCTCTATTCCTTTCTCGGCTTTCACTAAAGACCTGAACCCTGCTGGTGCGACCTACAAGACATATAAATGTAACTAACCATTTCATTACAAGATAATGCAAATAATTTTCAAATATCTGAAAATGTATGAGTTTCTAGTTTGTCCATAAAAAAAGTATGAGTTTCTAGTAATTGGTGGTTCTATATATACCTTGACAACTAAAAATCACATATGCAATTAGATGATAAAGGAATTGGAATGTAGATTTACTTGTTCATCAACGAATTTGGCCAAGAGCCGAGCCATGGCTTTATCGTACGGATCTTGAGGTAGAATTGGATTGTTTGTCCATGTTTGGTCGATGTATTCGAGTATCAGATTTGACTCGAGTATCGGTTTACCATTGTGGACAAGAACCGGGACCTTCTTGTGAACCGGGTTAAGCTCAAGAAGCAAAGGACTCTTGTTCATCAAATCTTCTTCCAAGTACTCGTATGGTACACCTTTGAGTTTGAGAGCCATCTTGACCCGACATGTGAAAGGGCTTGCCCAAAAACCTAGAAGCCTCACTTCCTCTTCTTTCTCCATTTCACTAGCTTTTTTTCTCTAACTCCTCCTTCTTTTAGTCTTCGTCTTTTGACTTCTTTTTTTCCTTTTTCTTTTTTGTATTTGTTATCATGATTGATTAATGTGCTTAAACGACGTCGTGTCAGGAAGAAAAGAGACCATTTGCTTTCATTTGGTAATTGGTATCCACTATCCACTAAGGTGAAGCCAAAAATACAACTTTCACCACGTCATGGCTCACGTGACATGGTCATTTTCTTTTTTTTTTTTTTTTTTTTTTTGACATCTTTAGATCGACAAGATCCGATCCATAGCTAATCCCTATTACGCGGAGTAACGCGACTTAGTGAAGTCGAACTCCGGTGGGGAAGGCGGAGTCAAGTGGACTTAACCACTTGACTAAAGACACATCCCCACATGGTCATTTTCTTTAGAATGGGACTTTTGGTATTTTTTATTCTATCTGGACTCGGTTCGGTTTGACTCATAGTCCAATCTGTTATGTTAATGTTTGATAGGAAGATATAACATTGTAGTAAGTAGACAAATGTTTATGATTAAAAATATTTTCTTTTTCTGTGATGATTTTCATATTCAGAAAATTTGAAAGTAAATAACATAGTAAAACAGAAGAATTCAATTATCAAACAAAATGTTAATACTATTGAAAAGAAATGATGATATCTGAATCAAAATATAACATGTATAGTGTGAACATTTTCAATTTTTGGTTGTGGTGTTCGTTCGGTCTTGATTCAAATGAGTTCGGTTCGGCTATTCTGGTTTAGTAAAACCCAAATTAAGCGAAATCATTTCGTCGGTTAAAGGGTTAGACATGCTTTTTGTGTTTTTGTGAAAGATTTTAAGTTGCATACAACAACACTTAAAAACTTGCCTGATTAAACTTCTTTAGAATTTAGACAATCGTTAATAACTATTATTTATTCCATACATAATAAAGATACATCATAACTCAAACTGATTAGTAATTATTCTGATTTAGATAGACTCACACACTTAGAAACCAGAAGCACAACCAAAACAAACACAAGAAACTCCGGCGACAAAACTCGAACCAAAATACTCAACCAGTGATCTGAATTGACTTCACATCAGCCTTCTTAGTCTCAGCCTTAGGCACAGTCACAGTCAACACACCATTCTCCATCGCAGCCTTAACTTGATCCATCTTCACATTCTCCGGCAACCTAAACCTCCTCGTAAACTGTCCACTCGATCTCTCCACACGGTGCCACGTGTCATTCTTATCTTCTTTCTCCACGTGTCTCTCTCCACTGATCTTCAAAACACTATCTTCCTCCATCTCAACTTTCACTTCTTCTTTCTTCAATCCCGGCAAATCCGCTTTGAACACGTGCGCCTCCGGCGTCTCTCTCCAGTCCACACGTGCGTTAACGATCGCAGAGTTTTCACGTGAAAGCGAAGATGATGTAAGTTCTTTGAATGGATCCCAAACGTCAAGAGAGAAAGGATCAAAGATGTTGTTGCCACGCCTGTTGTTGTTGAAGAAGCTTGGAATCATCGACATTTTTAGAGAATTTGATTTGCTTTCTTTGCTTGAAGAAACTTTTGATGATGTTTGTGTGAACTTTGATTATTCGACTTCTGATGAAAAACACAAGAGGATTTGTGAAGATATTTAAAGGCACAACCGAAATTTCCCGAGGTTCTCGAATTTACGGGAAATATCGAAACATCTAGAGGACGTGAATGAAAAAATCAGGTGGATCTAGAAAATTCTAGGAGATTTTGAGGTTGTTTGAGCTTAATGGGCCTTTATGGGCTCTAAAAATATGTCCATAACGGGCTGGTCCCTTCTTAAAATTCGTTATTACTTTTGTAATGCTATTGTTGCTGCTGCTGATCTCTCTACTAGGAAGGACATCCTGAATTTGGAGATATCCATTACCGTTGTTACCCTATTCGACCCTTACGGGTAATAGATCCACCTCGAAAAAATGGATATATCGACAGATAAGTATTCTTTTTTTAAAAAAAAAAACTGGTTTCTACCGATTATCCGATTCGACTTGTGAAACCGAATCGAATATCAAAATAATTGAACTCTAATCACTATCCAAAAAATTCTAAAACTTTACTTTTAAATAAGTACATAATCTGAAACATTTAAGACTGTCTGAGTAATATGGGCCATGGGCTTTAAAACCAATTATATAACGTGCTGAATTAAATTGAATATTACTAAAAAACTGGGCCCATCTTAATTCTCCAATCAATTAAGAGGATTAAACTAATCCAACGGTGGATATAAGACTTTAAGCTCCACTAAGTAGGGTCACGATGACGTAACTTCCCGCGTTCATTATGGAATCTTGAGCGTACGATTCTACTATTGGGGGCCCATCTTAAAAAATTCTACTGTTTTTTTTACTAAATCCGTCGGCCACAAAAAGATATGTTTTTATTATTTATTTATTCCTCCAAAAAAAAAAAAACAACTTCGACGAAAGACTCGGCGAACAAAACACACTCGCTTCAACAACTCTCTCTCTCTACTTGTCACTCTCTATCTACATACAAAATTAACAAAGCTCTCAAATCCTCTCTCTTTCTCTTCCTCTCTCTACTTCTGTAGCTGATAGGGTCAGCTTCGTCGGCGCTATTTCTGCCGGATTTCACGGACGATTTGAGATCTGTTCTTCCTTCTTATTATTCCTCCTCCTGATCTGATTTCACACTAATCTGCTTCACTCTCTGTGTTTACTTACTGATTCCATCGAGGTACGTCTCGAATTTTCAAGCTTTTTTCACTCTCCGACACTGTCAATAATCGTTTTCATTTGCCAGTAAAATGTTTTGTCTGCGAAGAAATTTATGTTTTCTGCTTAAGCCTTTCCTGTTACTAATCTTGTTTTTTAGTGCTTCTTTGGTAAACTTAGAATGTGATTTTGTTTTGGTCTTTTGATGATACTTAATCTAATCAGATCCCATTGATTCTTAAGGATCTAAAAATGTCATGATCTGTGTGTGTGGATAAGAAAGATGTACTTTTTTTTTTGGTATTTGTTATGACATTTTACCATTTTTTTTTTGTTTCTACAGTAAAAAAAATGTGGAGCATTTCAAGCTTTTGCAGTATAATGGGAAGCTAAGGAGTCATCTGAGTGAAACGTTTGAAACTTGTATAACAGATGGAGTGTCGTTTGGAGTTGAAGAAGGGTTCTTGTGATAGACCACCTTTTGTGGCTGCTGAGAAGAAGGTACTGACTAAGGAAAACTTAAAGTCATTTACACCGGATAAGTTTAGAGATGACAAACGCGGGTTGTCTTACTCCGATTTCCACCGCGAGATTACGAAAAAAGTTGAAGATGTATGTCCCAAACGGTTGGAGAATCGTTTGAAGTCAAGGATAGGTAGAACTGCGTCTGGAGAAAGAGATCTTGTGAAGTACAAGTCTTATGTTCCGAGTTATATAAAGAAATGTGATAAAGTTGAAGAGAAGAGTGTTAAAGCTGGTGGCATTGTTGGTTCACAGGAGCTAAGGAATAATAAGCAAGTTAGTGATAAACTGATGGATAAGCATACGAGGTCTTCGTTGTCTAACACAAGCACATCGTCTTCACTTTGGACTGATGAATCATCTACTGATTCTAGTAGAGGTCTTTGTGCTTCTCTATTTCGTAAAAAGATCAATCATCCTCCATTGCAGTATTATCTGATGTCATCTAAGCCAGGGGATAATTTTCAAGATTTGGAGCCACCTCGAGATAACGGTGATAGTACTTCCGAATGTCATATCACCGACACGCAAGGGGGTCCCGTTAGAAGAGATGGACAGTTTCATCAAACCCCTCGTGAAACTGCATTCCAACAGAATGAGAAGAAAGATACTGATGTTAAGATGCTTCCAAAAACTAGAAGTTTCTTTAGTCCATCTAAGCCAGATAGTCCTTCTTGCACACGGATAATATCAAAGAATCTAGCCGAGGATTTTAAGAAAAAAGGAGAGAAGTTGGAAGAGAGAATCCGAAATCCTCGTGTTCATGATCTCTTTGGAAAAGAAAAGCCTGCTGCTGTATTTGTACCAGGGATTGTTTCTCAGAAACAGTTTATTGGTTTGTCAAAGTTCTATGATTCAAAAGTGTTACTGGCTGAGCGAGTGGCGGAAACAAACCGAAAGGGATTCCCAGAGAGGTTATTATATGGGAAAAGTACAGTTCTGGACTCTGATGTAGGTCATTTCCGACGCGAATCTGATGGAAGTAAGCCATTCTTAAAACGTATCAGCTTCTTATCAGAAAGATCATGTTCAGCTCCACGATCAAGAAAGGCTGAATCTAGTCCCTCCAGGAGCAGGACTCTAGATAGAAGGTCAACAGAAACATTTCCCAAACAGTCAGATCAGAAACCAGCTAAAGTTGTATCAGAAAGAGCAAGGAGCATTTCACCATTTCGCCGACTCAGCTTCAGCATTGGAAAGTCCAGCAAAAACTCCAGCGCCGAAGATGCTAAGACTCCTCCACACTTAAGCACAGCACTTATTTCATCACGAGCTGGTCTAGAGAATCCATCTGCGTCTTCTTTCAGTGACAGCTCTTCTTTTGATAAAACCAGTGCAGCAAACAGAGGCAGGTCTAGTCCGTTGAGAAGGTTACTCGATCCTTTAATGAAACCAAAATCAAGCCACTCATGTAGATCTCCTGAGCCATCACATAAGGAAGCACCTTCAAGGCAACAAAAGGATATTCTTTCTGACAGTCAACCATCTTCGTCGTCCCTTTTGTCGAGAAATGGAAGATCTTCAACTGTTCAGGCTCTATTTCGTGTGACATCTAAGAATGATCAACCACTTTTCACTTTTGCGGTTGAAAAGGAACAAAGTATTACCGCAGCCACAATAAGAAAACAGACTCCTCCAGAGAAGGAAGACTCTGGACTCAAGTATACTTTTTTCACTGTTCAAGAAGTACAGAAGAAAAATGCAAAATGGATGAACCACAACAGGAAGGTCCAAAGCCAAGAGTACACATCCAACATTGTCGCTCAGATGAGAGTCTCAGATCCTAAGCCTCTGATTCTCGCTGGAGAAAGACCTGTCGATAACCTCTTAGCTAGAGAATTTGTACTCGTCGCATCTGAATCGCAGCGGACTAACGAGCTAGCTGCCATGGTGATCAAGATACCAAAACTTACAGTCACAAGCTCAACCAAAGACCAGAAACAGAACGAAACCACTCTTGGAGATTACTTTGCAGACGTTAACGCAACAGTGGTACTTCCAAGTGGAATTCACAGTCTCCCGCACAAAGGAGGGCCTTCATCGCTGATCCAACGATGGAAATCAGGTGGATCATGTGACTGTGGAGGCTGGGACATGGGCTGCAACCTTAGAATCCTCACAAATCAGCATAATAAACACAGAAACCCTTCTCCTTCCACTTCAGATGCCTTCAAGCTTTTCTTTCAGGTTTCCATAACATCTCAAAACTGTGAATACTAACATCAACATTTGGCTAAATTATGAAATCTCACTAATGTGAATTTGTTGCAGGGAGGATTACAGGATAATAACAACCAACCATACTTGAGTTTCACTACATACAGAGAAGGAGTTTACGCGGTTGAGTACAATACATCGCTCTCACTCTTGCAAGCATTCTCCATTTGTATAGCTGTTAACGAGGGACGGAATCCGTCAAAGACCGCCATGGAACCGAACAGTTCACGTGTAGCGAACAAAGCTCATGGAGGAGAGATGTCATCGATTCAAAACGAGAGGTTGAAGTCATTTTCAGGTCCTATTGAAGCCGAAGCTCCGGCGAGGTATCTCACACACCACCCACCTTTGTCTCCTGTTGGGAGAGTTTAGTTACTTCTTCAAATAAATCTGCCTATATATGTTTTTTATATATATATTTTCTCTTTTTAGTCTCTAATGGGGTTCGTATTTTCTATGTAATTACCGTGTGGAAGTAGATTACGTTAAATAGAAATTTGTGAAACTTGTGTTAATCGAATATCCACCCATTAATGTTTAAGCAAATTATGTTCTTTCTTCTTCTATTATCGTGTTCCTAGTACATAACTCGTTGATCTCTTTCGTTGAAACCATAAAAAAAAAAAAAAAATCGTAAAAAAATAATGGTGCTGCCCAGGATCGAACTGGAGACCTTTTGCGTGTAAGGCAAACGTGATAACCACTACACCACAGCACCTTAATGTCAATCATTATCATTTAATTATATTAGTATTTAGGGTTAAGAGAAAAGCAATTGAGCGGTTACAGAATTGGCTCCGACAAGAATTGTTTTGCGTAGATTGCACAAAAAGTTGAGTCCTTTCTCCGACAAGACAAAGACCCATTTGAATCGATTCCTTAAAAATTATTGATTTGGGAATATATTTTGTGTCAATTCAGGTGAATCAAACTGGTTGGTCCGATTCCGGATTGTCCTCGAATTTGTTTCTGTGATCGAGTTCTGTTTTCTTACAAAAGCAGTTGCATTTTGATCTTTGCTACATAGATTAATGTTCATTCTCAATCTTAACCATGCCGGTTTACGTTGATCGCGAAGCTCCTAAGGTTTTTGTTTCTCTTTCTTTTCCTGCGTTTTCATAAAGGTTATAATATTTATGCGTCCATGGTTTTGTATGTGAAGCTATGGAGACGAATTTACTCAGAAGCAACATTAGAAGCTTCTCTTCTTGCTGAAAAATGGAAGCTTGTTCTTGCTGGACTTGCATTTCAGGTTCTATAGCTCCTTTCCTCCACCGAATTTACGGGTTTTAATGTTGGTTTAGGTCTATCTCGAGATGATTCATGCTTGGTGTTCAGGTTATAGTTTGTTGGTGGTATGATTAAAGCTAAGTTGTGATAGATCAATTACTGAATTTTGTTTCAGTAATTTGATTAAATGTTGGAGCTTTAAAGATATTCAGTTTATAAATCCTATTTCTATTGTCATTTGCTTTTGGTACCTCTCACATCAGTACCTTCATGGACTTGCTGCTCATGGAGTTCACTACTTACACCGACCTGGTCCAACGCTTCAAGATGCCGGTTTCTTTATTCTTCCAGTCAGTATGCTTGCTGTGACTTTTCTCATCAATTTTGTTCTGTATCATAGCTCTAATTTGTTTGGTAATCGGTAGGCGCTTGGGCAAGATAAGGCCTTTGTCAGTGAAACTGTGTTTGTCACTATCTTTGGATCTTTTGTATTAGTAAGTTTTTCTCTCTAAAGTATCTGTTTTTTTTTCCCTTAACTCGCTGTAACGGTCTAATGGCTCTAACATGCGGTTGTTTACCTTGATCGTAGTGGACCTTTCATCCCTTTGTTTCCCACACTAAGAAAATTTGTACAGTTTTGATATGGTGCAGAGTTTTTGTTTATTTAGCTGTAAGTATCATCACTTACACTACACTAATTCTTCTATTTGTACATACACAGAAGATAGAATCTGTTTTTATTTTAGTATTGCTGAAGTGGTTAAGCTTTTATATGTTTTAGGCTTCTCAAAGTCTGAGGATCATCACATTCTTTGCAACACAGCTTCCTGGGCCGAATTATCATTGTCGAGAAGTAAGATTCTCAGGACGTTTAGGCTTTCTTTGGTTTCTTAGTTGTGACTTTTTTCTAGCTATGTTTTGACTTTCTCCCTGCTCTATCAAATTATCTTTTAGGGCTCAAAGCTCGCCAAGATTCCGCCTCCAAAGAATGTTCTTGAAGTACTCTTGATCAACTGTTAGTTTGAATTGCATCTTTTTGCAAATTTTTAGTTGGTACAGAATAACTCATAAAGTGGCATTTGATTAAGGTTTGTGTTCAAAATGCAGTTCCTGATGGAGTGATATATGGTTGTGGAGATCTAATATTTTCATCACATACAATTTTCACCTTGGTCTTTGTACGCACATATCAAAGATACGGCATACGAAGGTTCTGTCTCGTATATCGTTCTACAGAAGTTCATAATGTTTCACAAGATTCTTACATCTCATGTTTGTAAAATTCCCAGGTGGATCAAGCATCTGGCTTGGCTTATGGCAGTTATACAGAGCCTATTGATTATAGCATCAAGGAAACATTACACAGTTGACATTGTTGTTGCATGGTCAGAAAAAAGAAGAAATCAATTATCTTTTTTTCGCAAAATTGAATCGTTGAATTATCTCAACATTTTCTTCTGCAGGTATACTGTGAACCTTGTGATGTTCTACGTTGACAGTAAATTGCCAGGTAAGTTTCCTCAAGAACTCATCATTCTCCCAAAAGATAACAAAACCATTCTGCAATTTCTACTCCCAATTTAGTTCCTATAGTCATCTATCTTGGCCAAAACTTGAGACTGCTATCTGTTTCCATACTTTGTGTCAATCTGAAATGGTTGCCCTGTTACTTACCCACCCAAAAGATTAGATCATTACAGTGCTAACAATGTAGTAACTGGCTCAGATTTGGCCAGATCATTCTTAGTTTAGTTTTTGCTATTGCCTGAAACAGTATAAACCCAATACAGGTTTTGGTCAATCTTGTAGTAAACTGAAATGGTTGCCTGTTACTTACTCATCTTTTATCATTAGAATGCTAAACAATGTGGTAACTGTTCTCAGATTGCCAAACCGTTTCTTAACTTATTCTCTGCTATCCACCCAAAAGAGTATATTATTATTATGACCCCAACATAAGTTTTGGTCAATAAGTTAAGAAATTGTTAACATATTCTTATTACAGAAATGGCAGAGCGTTCTAGTGGACCTTCTCAGACGCCTTTACTTCCACTGAGCACAAAGGACGGTAACAAGAGCAAAGAAGACCATCAAAGACTTCTAAACAAGACCAATGTAGCAGATGAGCTTTGATCTTAATGTTTGTCATAAACTTTCTTTGCTTTAGTGCTTTAGGATACACAGTTCTCTTAGTTCTTCATCTCTCCAATGTAAAAATACAAATTATACAACTCATTAATGTTTTGTGATTTTCAATTTTGTTATTTCATTTCACCCCTTTAGTAATAATGGGTTCACAGGGAATTGCATAATTTTGTCTAAATCAGAGCCAAAAATGTGATGCAATTTTCTTCACAATAAAAACAAGATTGCCTTAAGCTTTAGAAAAAAACAAAGAACAGAGTTTTGTTCCCTCCAAGAGCTTTTGGTCTATAATAATTGCCTTTAAACTGGAGGCTTGCCAGCACTTAGAAGCTGTCCAACCATTCCATTTACCTGGAAACGAGTTTAATGAGTAAAAGAACATAAGTATATGAATTTGAATAATGGTGGTCAACTATTAGAAGATTTGAAGTATTAAAATTGTTAATTGCTTTGAAGTATCATAGCCTTACCTGCCAGTACTTGGAAACACAACGGTCGATGCAACTATTCTCGCCCATGTTTAACTCAGCTTCCTTGTACCTGGGAATCAGATTGATATTAGGCAAAGAATCTCAAAACTGGTGCAACTGACTAATCTCTCAGCTAATAAAGGTTTCCATGATATCATTAGAGAACATCAAAAAGAGAAATCAATTACCTTTTATCCACACATTTATTAAAGCATGTTTGAGCAAGCCTGCATTACAAGAACAAGGCCTATCAGAAGGATACACAAAAAAAAGATGCGACATTCTGCATAATCACAATGGACCAATCACCACTAATTTAGTATGTCAAACAAAGTATATCAGGATGAAAGGAAACACATATAAAGATGTGACTTTCTTCATAATCTCTAACCCAAGGAATCACATTGAAAATTAACAGAACACCATCAAACCATATGTTATCAAAGTCTAATCTCTACATAACAGCGGAATACATGTGCACCTAAATCGAGAATTCCTCATAAAAAGATTATAGATTTCATCCTCAAGATAGGCAGTGTAACGGTTTTCGGCATAACAGCAGTCACAAACTTATACTCCTCTAGCTATATATCACTATTTGAACATAAAAGAGAAACCCCAAACAATGTGATCAAAACAAATTCAAACCAAGAACAGATTAGCAATCAACAGTAAGAGCATCAATCTCTAATCTTATACGAGAAAATCGAATTTCATTACGAAAAATAAACCAAATGAGTCTTATAATTCAGTACTTGTTAAAGAGTTCCACCCGATACTCCATCTCCGTTTGTGCCATACTAAACGCCTGATTCAAATCCCAAGAGACAAAAAAGCAAAATGAGAAACTTGAGAACACCAATCCAAATCTAATAAATGGCTTAAAGATCTGAATCAAGATACAATTCAACACTAAGCATTGCTAAAACATTGAAACCTATATGTCATCACAGAGACAGCTAAAAAATTAAGCTTCCATTGTCTAATTAGATCAAAGATCGGAGCTTTACGATGTAATAACAACAAATGACGAGAAAAAAACCGAACCTGTTCCTTAGTAACGCCGGCGGGAATAGGACTAGGAGAAGCCATTCTTTTAGCTGTACCTGAATACAAAATTAAAGATTCGTAAAAATCGAAACTTTATAATTCAAGACTTGAATTTGAAGATCAAAAATCCTTACTTTCTCAAATGGTTTTGTTAGAGAGGTCAAGAACACAACAAAGGGTTCTCTTTTGCTACACAGCCGAATTAGGGTTTAAGAGACATTAAACGCCACGTCATCAATCGAAGGGTATATATGTAATTACGCTAAAATATCGGAGCTTCTCTTACGACTAAAAAAGTCGCCGACTAATGGAGCTTTTAGGGTTTTAGCAAATTTCTATTGGAGGTATCATCTATCTTACTCTCACAACTCTTTTTTGGAGAAATTTTCTTCAATTTCGAATCTTTCTTTGTGGGTTTGTTAAACTATTCAAAGATTTTGATTTTGAGTTAGGTATTGAGTAACAATAAGGTGAGATATGGAGCACGGTTCGTTCACGAATGATAGTCATGCTTCGTTTACTTTATCGGAAGAAGATCACACACTTGCTAACGCTGTTAGATTCGTCTTAAACCAAGAGTTAGTATCTTCTTTTGAATCCTTTTGAATCTGTTGTGTATATAGAAGAAGAAGCCATACACTTTCACAGTTAGCTTTATAGTCTCATACTTAGTTCTTGACTCTCAAATTCTTATTATTGACTTCATAGTTTCTCTCATTAAGAATTAATCTCTTACCTCTCTGTACCATAGCTGCCGGTTTTGTTTTTAGTTCGAATTATTGTTTGAACAATCAGTGTGCACTTTGTATGTGTATGCCTTTATAATGTGATTGTGAAGTTGAGTTCGATTCAATGTTGGTCACATTATTGGTTAAAAGTAGTCTAGAATTAGCTCCTAAATATCCCAAAGTAATAAGCTTTTAGGTCAAAATAGATATTTTACAGACTTTATTGTTCCGATATGTTTCGGAGGATGAGTTCGGTCCATTAGGTTCGCCATTATATTGTGATTGTGAAACTTGAGTTTTACAAAAGTGTTGGTTTGCATTAATGTTATGTTGTTTAGAGATTCTCATTGTATGCTAAAACGTTTCGAATGATTCTGAAGAAAAGGTCTTTACTTGATATTCAATGAATGCCATCTTATCTTATCATTGTGGTTGATATGCTGCACAAGTATGCTTGTGTGCAGACAATGATGATCATGTCACTAACCAGTACTGTTTTTAATTCTGCAGTCCGAGAGTAACCGTGGCTGCATACACCATCCCACATCCTTCCCTTGAACAGGTCAATATCCGGGTCCAGACAACAGGTACTGGTTTTCAAAACTCTGTTCATCAGAGTTAAGCTATATGTTCTTTCTTTCTTTCTGGATAACTCTTATCAGAGTTTTTTTTGTCTGTGTCTAACAACATAAGACTTGTTGGCTCTGTGATTTTTAGGTGATCCGGCAAGGGAAGTTTTCAAAGATGCATGTCAAGAACTTATGCAAATGAACAGACATGTGAGAAGCGTTTTTGATAAGGCTGTTACTGAGTATAAGGCTGCTAAAAAGCTAAAGGAGGAGGCTGAAGAAGAAGAGCTTAAGAGGCAGAGGGATCTATTTGGGTCCATGGACATTGAAAGCAACTGATTTTATAAAATTAACAATTGTATTTTCTCTAAGGAGTTTTATACTGTTTTTTTTTTTATCTTAAAATTCAGATTTGTCCTTAAAATTGACTCTAATTCGCAATCCATATCCTTTCTAATAATGTAATTAAGGGCCAAGGGAAAGGCCTTTCCTTCTCCGCGCCCGCCCACGCTTCGCTGAATTCGACTTATTTTAAGAGCAATGTTAATGTAAGTCCCCATTTATTTAATAGCGCCTGGGCAAGTTTGATCGAGGATTGGAGAGGTACTTCAGTAGCCAAATGGTCTAGTCTCTGCCGGAGAACAGCAGCTAAGAAGAAGGGGTGACGGACTTGATTATGCCGGGCATCTGCACACCACCATACTGTATGATGCGATAGCAGATATAGCCCTGATCAGGCGGATTCTCACTCTTTTAAGCAAGAAAATTTTAAAATACTACTTGCTTGTCTTCATCGAATTCATAATTCACAAACAAAAATAACAATGATATGGAACAAAGAAAATAATAATATGGATGATTCTTGATTTAGCAAAATAAAATTGATAAATCCTCTTAGCCTAGGCAGAGTATCATAACTAATAACGCAAGCAATAGTTACAGAAACTATAAAAACTTAGTAGAAGAAAGTAAACAGCAACAGGAAGTTGAGGTGTTGTTTTATGTTCTGTTTCTTCTTCAATAACCTTCTTCTTGCTCGTACTCAGCTTCTTCGTCTTCATATTCTCCTTCTTCATCAGCCGTGGCATCTTGATACTGCTGATACTCAGAGACAAGATCGTTCATGTTGCTTTCAGCTTCAGTGAACTCCATCTCATCCATACCTTCACCTGTGTACCAATGTAAGAAAGCCTTTCTCCTAAACATAGCAGTGAATTGTTCGCTGACACGCCTGAACATCTCTTGAATCGATGTCGAGTTACCGATGAATGTTGAAGCCATCTTCAGACCAGTAGGGGGGATGTCACAGACGGTTGATTTGACATTGTTTGGGATCCATTCCACAAAGTAGGAGGAGTTCTTGTTCTGAACGTTCAGCATCTGTTCATCGACCTCCTTGGTGCTCATCTTGCCACGGAACATGGCTGAAGCAGTGAGATAACGACCGTGTCTTGGGTCAGCAGCACACATCATGTTCTTGGCATCCCACATTTGCTGAGTCAGTTCTGGGACAGTGAGGTTACGGTACTGCTGAGATCCACGAGAGGTGAGAGGAGCAAATCCCACCATGAAGAAGTGAAGACGAGGGAATGGGATCAGGTTCACAGCTAGCTTTCGCAGATCAGAGTTCAGTTGACCAGGGAACCTAAGACAGCAGGTCACACCAGACATGGTTGCAGAGATCAAGTGGTTCAGATCACCAACTGCACAATTCAGTAAACAAACAAAGAATATGAGTTAAGTTTCAAAGTATGTATAAAAGCATAAAGGAAGAATCTCACTCTTATCACATCTGCAAATCCATGTTCAAATTTAAGCATTTGGCATCATACTACTAATTAATAACTAAGCATCAATCAAGAAAGCACAACCACAGCGACAGAGTAACAATCAAGAAAATAGCACAACCAAAGCATTTTACGATTAGAATGAAGAAAACTGTGATCTAGACGTTGAGAAGACTAATCTCACTATGGTCACATCAGCAGACCCATGTTCAAATTAAAGCATAACACACCATACTAATCAATAACTAAGCATTCAAACAAGAAAACAATAAACCACAGGGACAGATACAGTAACAATATTGAAACTTAATCAAAAAAGATTGTGATACTTACAACTTGGAGTGCTAAGCTTGAGAGTACGGAAGCAAATGTCATACAATGCTTCGTTGTCAAGAACCATACACTCATCAGCGTTCTCAACAAGCTGGTGCACAGATAGTGTTGCATTGTATGGCTCAACAACAGTGTCAGACACCTTAGGAGATGGGAACACAGAAAAAGTCATCATCATACGGTCAGGGTACTCTTCCCTGATCTTTGATATCAACAAAGTTCCCATTCCAGAACCAGTTCCTCCTCCTAAGGAATGGCACACCTGAAACCCTGTAGATCCAAACAACCAAAACCATAAGCAAACGAATACAAAACCCTAATCCGTAATTCCACGATTCAAAATCAGAAATCTAAACCTAAAACAATCAATCACTACCAATAATCAACCTAAATTACAGATCTAAAACCCTAAGTAAGGGACAAGGATTCAAATACCTTGAAGGCAGTCACAATTCTCAGCCTCTTTGCGAACAACATCAAGGACCGAATCAATAAGCTCAGCACCTTCGGTGTAATGACCTTTAGCCCAGTTATTCCCAGCACCGGACTGACCAAAGACGAAATTATCCGGACGAAAGATCTGACCATAGGGACCAGATCTAACACTATCCATGGTTCCAGGCTCCAAATCCATGAGAACGGCACGTGGAACATACCTTCCACAACTCGCCTCGTTGTAGTAGACATTAACCCTCTCAAGCTGCAAATCGGAATCTCCGTGGTACCTTCCCGTCTGATCAATCCCGTGCTCGAGATTAACCACTTCCCAGAACTTGGAACCGATTTGGTTTCCGCATTGACCTCCTTGGATATGAAGAATCTCACGCATCTTCGCTCACAGAGAAGAAAACCCTAAAACTGGATCTAAAGAGAGAGAGAGATTTTGAAAAAGAGAAAGAAGAAGTAGAGAGGATCTTTTTTTTTTATGAGAGAGAGAGAGGAAGAGGAGGGTCCATTTATAAAGAAAAGGAGGTTTTAACGGCTAATATTTGGTAATTCAAAATCAAATCGACGGTTGAGATATTGCCACGTAAATCGAGGTGGCAACGGGTGGCAAAATTCAAAAATTAATGGCTCGTGAATAAAAAGTTTTTAATCTTTTTTTTGAATTTCGTAAAAATCTGTTTGTGTGAATGACAGCTGGATTCCATTAAGGAGAGCAGTTACTAAAACGACGCCGCACGTGCTTTGTGAAGAGATAAAAAGCCGTTCCAACCTGGCAATCGCACGTGAGAGACTTCTTATGGGCCCAAAAATGGGCCGCTTTTACTCTTTTCAAATCTGCATGACCAAGAAACGGAGTGATGTTCTGTAGCGAAATCCTCAGACGGCAAGCATGTTTAAGTAAAGTGAAACGTCATCGTTTTCTGATTGAATATGCTTATTGGATCCTGAACCGGAGCCTGAACCAAAAAAATACAGTCAATCGGAAAATGAATTTCAGATTCAAACTTGTTCATCGAAATTTTTCTTGAAGATTCGAATCGGAGAAGTCAGTGGAAGAGGAAGAAGAAGAAGATGTCTGTGCAAGAGTATTTAGACAAGCACATGCTTTCTCGGAAAATCGAAGACGCCGTTAATGCCGCCGTTAGGGCTAAAACCTCAGATCCCGTTCTCTTCATCGTAAGTTTCCTTCGAATTTTCCAGTGAGATTTTGTATTCGTCATTTGTACTCATTGAATCTTCAATTGGAAAAGTGCAGGCGAATCATATGAAGAAAGCTGTATCATCGGTGATAACGAAGGTTAAAGCACGACAGATCCTTGATAGCAGAGGAATTCCAACAGTTGAAGTTGATCTTCACACTAACAAAGGCGTTTTTCGTGCTTCTGTTCCCAGTGGTGATTCTTCTGGAACGTGAGAATTCTTCTTACTCTCTTCTCTTGTTGTGATGGTGATGAATGAGTTTTATTTGAATTTTGTTGATGCATGGTCCTGACATGAGGAAATTGGTTTACTGGTTTTCAAGGTATGAAGCTATTGAGCTACGTGATGGAGACAAAGGAATGTATCTTGGAAATAGTGTGTCTAAAGCTGTTAAGAACATTAATGAAAAAATTTCAGAGGCGTTGATTGGTATGGACCCTAAACTTCAGGGTCAGATAGATCAGGCTATGATAGATTTGGATAAAACTGAAAAGAAGGTAGGTGGGAACTCTTTATTAGGATTGTAACTAGTTCATGGATCAATGTTCCTTATGATTAATTTGATTTGAATATCCTGCAGAGTGAACTTGGTGCTAATGCTATACTTGCTGTGTCAATTGCGGCATGCAAGGCTGGAGCTGCTGAGAAAGAAGTATGAAATCTTCACAACATTTTCTCTTATCCTATGTATTTTATGCCTACTTTAGTTTGGAGATTTTGATTGAAGTTATATATCAGGTCCCTCTGTGCAAGCACCTTTCTGATCTCAGTGGCAGAGCAAACATGGTGTTACCTGTACCTGCGTTCACTGTTTTGAGTGGCGGGAAGCATGCTTCGAATACTTTTGCCATTCAGGTATTCAACATTAAGTTCACTATTAACTTTTCTGTTCTACCTCTTTCTCATAATCTTTTGTCATATTTTAGTCTTGCTCCTCAAAGTTCTTCAAGAATGCTTTTGGGTTTCAAGTAATTTCATTCTCATATATTGTTAGGAAATTATGATTCTCCCAATTGGAGCAAGTAGATTTGAGGAGGCCCTGCAATGGGGATCTGAGACATATCATCATTTAAAGGTCAATTTTCAAAGATAAATGGCTTTCTGGAAGTTACTTTTCTATTTGCATCCGTAAATTTGTGTATAAGGTGAGAATGATCTTTTGCTGTTTACGGCAGGCTGTCATTGCAGAAAAGAATGGTGGTTTGGGATGTAATGTTGGTGAAGATGGTGGCCTTGCTCCAGATATCTCGAGGTACGTATATTTTTCCTCTCTGATGCTAATCTCCTTGCATCTGTAGATTGTCAAAACTGAAAAAACCATGTTATGGTTTGATGGCTTAGTGCCTAATATGTGTAATTGCAACTGTATGCAGCCTCAAGGAAGGTTTGGAGCTTGTAAAAGAAGCTATCAACCGAACAGGGTACAATGATAAGATAAAGATAGCCATTGATGTTGCCGCCACTAATTTTTGTTTAGGTAATTTTCTGCTTCCTGGCTAACTGTTTTTTTGCGGCTTCTTGTAGTCATGGATAGTCTTGGTTTGGTTGTGGGCATTGTCATTCACAATTGGCTAGTGACATGAAAAAGATATTAAATCATCAAATGTGTAACCTATCAGTATCTTGCTATTGCAAGTTTCAACTATGTTTTACGTTTTTGTGTATTTATCTTACCTTGTGGAACTGTTCTTTCCTGAACAGGTACCAAGTATGATCTAGATGTCAAGTCTCCAAATAAATCTGGGCAAAATTTCAAGTCAGCGGACGATATGATAGATATGTACAAAGAAATTTGTAATGGTATGTCTGTTCTCGTCTGAACAATATTTTTTGCATTTATTTTAGTACCCTTGCAGTATTTTAACGACCGGATTTTCTGTTTGGTCTCCTTGTGGGTTTAGAGTATCCAATTGTGTCTATCGAAGACCCTTTTGACAAGGAGGACTGGGAACACACCAAGTATTTTTCCAGTCTTGGAATATGTCAGGTCCAACTCGGTTCCCCTACTAAAAACAGTTCACATAGATTTTGTGTTCTTTCAGATCACACCGTCTTCTGATTCTTTTCACATAATCAAATGTCTAAAGAGAGAGACCCTTAAATCTTCTTGTACAATCATTTTCCTTGTCTAAATTCTCAGTGTTAAACTCTTGCAGGTGGTAGGTGACGATTTATTGATGTCAAATTCAAAACGTGTTGAGCGTGCCATACAGGAGTCTTCTTGTAATGCTCTTCTTCTCAAGGTATATCGTCTGTGCTAATTTTGTTTATCATAAATACTATGTATAGCCTGTGTTCGTATTGTATGATTGATACGCTACTGCCTAAGAACGACAAAGACATAATGTGCATACGGTGATACAGGTGAATCAGATTGGTACAGTAACAGAAGCCATTGAAGTAGTGAAAATGGCAAGGGATGCCCAGTGGGGTGTGGTGACATCTCATAGATGTGGAGAAACAGAGGACTCTTTCATCTCTGACTTATCCGTGGGTCTCGCAACAGGTGTGATAAAAGCTGGTGCTCCTTGCAGAGGAGAACGTACTATGAAGTATAACCAGGTCTCGATCTTTTTCAAAACTAATATCCTCAGCGCCCCTTATGCGATAACTAGAACATGATAAATTACGTGGAGTAACCTGCATTGGAATTTTGGAGCATAGAAAAAACTCTTTCATCAGCTTATTTTTAGTTTTTAAGTAGCCAAGTTATGTTGTGATGCGACTCTTTAGCGACCTAGGCTTAAGTTTCAGTTCTTTAACTTTTGGATAGTGCAGGCTTAGATTGTTACTAGATACAATTATTTCCCTCATTGGGTAATGATTGACTTTGGAGCAACCATGTACATTTAGTTTCTAGATAGAGTTCTCATTTCGTGTTTAGTGATCACTGTAGAAAGTACTTTATTAAAAAGCTGAATCACAGTTGAAATGTTCCTGTAGTTGCTACGGATAGAGGAAGAGCTCGGGGATCAAGCTGTGTATGCTGGAGAAGATTGGAAGCTATCTCTCTAAACAAATGCACATGTGATATAATTGTTACACTTCTCGTCTTACTTCATTGTTCTCTAGTCTATTTCTCACGCAGACAAATTCTGTGTCTTGAAAGTTCAAATTTTTTGTTTTTTTGGCCAAATTTCAGAACAAACAGAACTAAAGAGTGTTAAACAGGTTTTTTCCAAATTGTAAAAGCACCCAGAAACATCAATCAACACTAGTTCGTGAGGTTGCAGAAGCCACAAACAAAGGTGTTTTAGGGCTTTGTGTCTTCTTTTTCTTCAATCTTACACGCCAAATAGTATCGAATGTAACCCATCGCAGCCACCTTGTACTCCACCACGATTGGTAGCTCCGAGGACAATCTGATTGTCACAGTTTCTGACAATGGAGTTGCCTTTGTGAAGAGATTCATGTACCTCAATGCAAATGAAAGCGAAACAGGCTCGTTCATCTCTATCACAATAGCATCTTCAGGCTGCAAAGACACACAAACAATAGGCCATTTCAACATTGTATTGGACAGATTATAACAAAAGCTTTAGATAACTTGTTTACTATTCATACTTTGTCCACATTTGTGTTCTGCCTCAGTACAATGTTCGCTGTCCCGATATCACTTTCTGTTGAAAACCTCACCCTTTCTTTTGTCATCACAGAGATTACAACTGCAATCAAAGCCAGATTTATTGTTTTTATATAAAAATAGAAACAACATTACAGTTACATAGAACAGTCCACTTATCTACCTGTGTCACCGAAACTACCTAGATCTTTGCATATCCTGGAAAATTCACCAGAGGGCATTCTCACAATTGAGTGGTACTCAGGAACTGGTATACCTATATGCACACTGACAATACCCATCAGCTTCAGCTCAAAGTCTGCTATCTTGTCTTGTGCTGCATCATCAGTTCATTCAAATCATAAGATTATACATGTTTATAACATAGTCTGCATAAAAGTTCTTCTGTTTTCTTTTTCTAAAGTCTAAATCAAGAAACCTTATTCACTTTTACACTATAGATTTCAAGATACGGACTTCAATATTCTCAACATTCTAATTGTAGGTTATGGCAAATGAAACCTATAATTTAGCATCATAATCATCGACAACAAATACAAAATTCTAACAAACATGAATCGAGAACTTACTGGAACTCTCGAACATGAAGGTGACGGTGTCGCTGCCACCATCAGCTTTGATAGTGATGATGTCATTTTTCCCAGCACATTTCAGCAACTTGGACATGCTATCAAGTTTCATCATCATGAAGATGTACTTATCGCACGTGGAGGCAATCTCTCTAAACAAAAGCACATGTAATATATAACTGTCACATTTCTCGTCTCACTTCATTTCTCAGTCTTATTTTTCACGCAGACAAATTTCTTCAAATATTACAGATGAAAAGAGTTATAACAAGCTTTTTCAAATTGCAATAAGACAAACTGACATTTGATTATCTAGTTTACCGTTGCCTTAACATAGTAAATCCAGAAAACAACTGAATCAAGACAGACATTTCAACAAAAGGACTTAAACGAAAACTAAAAAACATTCATCATTATTAGGGCTTAGTGTCTTCTTCTTCTTCAATCTTAGGCGCCAGATAGTATCGAATGTAACCCATCTCAGCAACCTTGTACTCCACCACAACCGGTAACTCAGAGGACAAACTGATCGTCACAGTTTCCGACAATGGAGTAGCCTTTGTGAAGGAGTTCATGTACCTCAATGCAAATGAAAGCGAAACAGGCTCGTTCATCTCTATCACAATAGCATCTTCAGGCTGCAAAAACACAAGGTCACTTCAACATTGTATTGGACAGATTATCAAACAAAACTCTCTAAATGACTTGAGATTGTTCATACTTTGTCGACAGTAGTATTCTGCCTGAGTACAATGTTTGCTGTCCCGATATCACCTGCTGTTGAAAACTTCACCCCTTCTTTTGTCACAGAGATCACAACTGCAAAATCACAACATCAAAACCAGAATCATGATTAGATAAAACTCAAAACACCATTACAGAATTCTCACTGTGACACACCAACAGAAACAAACAGTTCATTTACCTGTATCACCAATACTACTGAGATCTTTGCATATCCTGGAAAATTCTCCAGAAGGCATTCTCACAATTGAGTGGTACTCAGCATCAGGTATTCCTAAATGCTCACTGTCAATATCCATCAGCTTCATCTCAAAGTCAGCAATCTTGTCTTGCGCTGCATCATCATCAATACACTCAAATCATGAGACTATGTACACTAATAACATAGTCAACATAATATTAAGTTCTTCTGTTATCTTTCTCTAACTCAAGCAACTCTATTCACTTTCAAACTACAGTCTTTAAGCTACACAAACTAAAGAATCAGATCACAAATAGCCCTAACAAACAAAAATCGATTAGGGTAAAATGAAGAACTTACTGGGACTCTCAAACATGAACGTCACAGTGTCGCTACCATCATCAGCCTTGATGGTGATGATATCATCATTTCCAGCACATTTCAGCATCTTGGACATATTACCAAGATTCATCCCCATGGAAAGATTCCTATCGCACCGATAATGCTCAAAACCTTCAGATCTCAGCAAAAGAGACACCAACGCGACGTGGCTCGAATCCATAGCTTGAAGCGAGAACCCTGTGCTTGAACAGTCGAAGTTCGCATCGTTCACAAGATCTTTGACCGCTTCTAGAACCTTCTTTAGTAGAGAACCTTGAACTAAACGAAGCTCCAACATCTTCTGGGAAATTATCGAAAGCTTAGAGTGTGAATTGAACGGTTAGGGTTTTTTAGGGTTCTTGAAATTTCTGAGAGGAGATTGCAATTGTAGCGGGAATTGATATTATAAGCCGAGATTTTGTGGCGCCATTTAGCAATTTTAGGGTATTTTTGTTCCCGCCTATGTGACGACGAATTATCACCTTCACTTTAAGCTTTCTTTTTTATTGGTTTAAAATGGCCCAAACAAACATTCGGCCCATAACCAGCCTGTAATACTTAAAGGGCAAAGACTAATTAATTAAAGTTTTAGTACGGTTTGATTCAATATCATTATTTTTGAAATCTGGATTAAACCTGGATCTCTGGTCGAAGGGTCGGTTCAGTGCGGTTTTATTTTGGTCTACATTTCAATATCCTGTTTTTCGGTATAAGATAAGAACGTCTTTATTTGATAATCTCTATTAAATTTGTTTTAATTTCTGATTACTTCAATTCAATTTCGAATTTTCGCATCTTAAACTTCAAATTGGTTTTTAAATCATTTAAAAAAAATTAATAGTGGTTCAGATCGGTTTACTACGAGAAAGAAAAAGAAGATATTTTTGACGATATTTTTAATATTCCCGAAAAATTCGAAACGAGAGCAAATCTGCTCTTCTGGTAAAGCTTCTTCGTGTTCGAGACTGAAGAAGAAATCGAGAAAATCATTGAGGAAGGAAGAGAATTAAGTAATGGCGCATAGAATACTGAGAGATCACGAGGCTGATGGATGGGAACGTTCTGATTTCCCAATCATCTGCGAGTCTTGTCTCGGTGACAATCCTTACGTGAGAATGGTAAATTCTTCGCTTCCTATGTTTCTCCTCAAACAAATTCGATTTTTTTTGCCTTAAGCTTGATTGGTTTTTTAGAAAACTCCTGAATCTTCATTAAGATCGCTTTACTTTATCCATTTTCGTGCTCGTTTGATGATTTTATGTTTCTTAGTGTTGAAGCTTAGTGATTTGGGATTTTAGGGTTTATGCAATATAGTATTGATTACTGTGTGTCTCATGTTATGCCTGGTAGTGATGTGCTTTCATGTTTGATTGATGTATTGTTGTTGTTTTGTATGCAGACAAAGGCAAATTATGATAAGGAATGCAAGATCTGTACTCGGCCTTTCACGGTATTCAGGTGGCGACCTGGCCGAGATGCGAGATACAAGAAGACTGAAGTTTGTCAGACATGTTGCAAGCTGAAGAATGTGTGCCAAGTTTGTCTCTTGGATCTTGAGTATGGTCTTCCGGTTCAAGTCAGAGACACGGCACTCAACATTAGTACTCATGATTCTATCCCAAAAAGTGATGTGAACCGCGAGTTTTTCGCTGAAGAGCATGATCGAAAGGTATATTTGAGTATTGATTGGTTTGAGATTTGGCTATACAGTTGCTCGACTTTATAATGGTTTATTGAAATGATATAGTATTCTTATGCAGACAAGAGCTGGACTAGATTATGAGTCTTCTTTTGGGAAGATTCGACCTAATGATACCATCCGTATGCTTCAAAGGACAACGCCATATTATAAAAGGAATCGAGCACATATTTGTAGTTTCTTCATTAGGGGAGAGTGTACAAGAGGTGATGAGTGTCCATACCGTCATGAGATGCCTGAAACAGGGGAGTTATCCCAGCAGAACATTAAAGACCGATACTATGGGTAAACATACTTCTAACTTTCGTTTTGTTTTGAGTATAATAATGTTGAGTTACTCATTAATCTCTTGCTTTGGTATATCATGAAAGAGAGTTATGAACATCAGTTTGTGTGGCTGAATTGCGTCTCATATTGGCTGCTATTTTGGAACCATTTTCTCATTTATTCTTCACATCCTGCAGTGTAAATGATCCAGTTGCGTTGAAGTTACTTGGCAAGGCTGGTGAGATGGGCACTTTGGAATCTCCAGAGGATCAAAGCATCAAAACGCTTTATGTTGGTGGCCTAAACTCGAGAGTCCTTGAGCAAGACATTCGCGATCAATTCTACGCCTATGGAGAAATCGAATCCATTAGAATCTTGGCTGAGAAAGCGTGTGCGTTTGTCACATACACAACCCGAGAAGGCGCAGAGAAAGCAGCAGAAGAGCTCAGTAACAGGCTAGTTGTCAACGGTCAGAGGCTAAAACTCACATGGGGAAGACCTCAGGTTCCCAAACCTGATCAAGATGGTTCTAACCAACTGGGCAGTGTGGCTCATAGTGGTTTACTACCTCGAGCAGTTATATCTCAGCAACAGAATCAACCTCCAATGCAGCAATACTATATGCACCCACCACCACCACAACCTCCTCATCAAGACAAACCCTTTTACCCATCAATGGACCCTCAGAGAATGGGTGCAGTCATTTCGTCCCAAGACAGCGGTTCAAGCACCATTGACAACAGAGGAGCTTCTTCTTCTTCTTACTCGATGCCACAACATGGCCACTATTCGCAGCACCAGCCATACCCACCACCACCATATGGAGGATATATGCAGCCACCTTACCAGCAGTATCCTCCTTACCAACATGGCCCACCGCAAGCTGCTCATCCTTCCCCGCAACAACCGGTTCCTGGTTCAAGGCCCAATGCTCCTCCTCCAAGTTCAGTCGCTGCTCCACCACCTGACTCTGTGTCTGCAGTACCTTCATGATCCTCTCAGCAATCTGCTGATGCTGCTGTTACCACTGGATCGACTCAATAGAAATCATTGTCCATTTAAAAATGTACTTCAAATTTCTGGCTACATCTGCCTTCCGAATTTTTGCTTATGTTATACAATTAGCTTCCTTTTTTTTTTTTTTTTTTTTTTTTTTTTGGACAAACAATTAGCTTCCTATGCATCGACAATTCTTGCTCAGCAATTTGTTTGTGTTAAATTTTATGATGGGAGTAAATGAAGAGAATTTTCGACTCTTGTTGACAGTATAATTCTGATAATTTAACATACATTAAAGCCAAGATGAAACCATAGACAACAAAATCTCTTGAAGCTTCTTCAAATTCCTCTTTAAATCACAACTTTCAATGTCGTATAGATGAGACAGATTACCATCCTCATCAACATAAATATCACAGTTACTGAATGGTGGTTCGGTTTGATCTTTATAAGCTATGTACAAAGGTTTTACATTCACAACCTGAAAGAACAAACGAACTAACAAATCCCAAACCAAATTTACCTACCATAATCCTATTACTGAAAACAGACATAACAGTGATGAAACACTTAAAGATGAGTGTTATAGTGCCAAAAGAAAGTTGGACTCAGAGCTTACTAGCTTGTCTACCAAACATAGAATGTCGACCTTCCGCTATAATCTCTCCGGTCATCTTGTTTCTGACAACAACGATCGTTCCTTTATAACCTCCTCTCTCTCCTAACAATCTCGAAGTTATCTCCAACTCCTCCTGAAAATATATTCCCATTTCAATATCATCTCTCTCTATATATATCCCTTTCTATGACTTCCAGCAAATCATATGAATTTAGCAAACAAACAGTCCCAAGTAAAGATTTGAGCAGACTTACACCAAGCTTAGCTTTTGAAAGGAATGCAATAGACATGTCCACTGAAACACTCATAGGTAAACCTTCGACATGTACAAGTGCTCCACCAACTTCATCCACAAGATTTGCAATCGCACCATTTGCTAAATTCCCTTCTCTGTCCTGCCATTTATCAAAACCTTAAAAGATCAACACCATCTCAAAGAAAAAAAAAATCAAGTCCAAGAACCTATATTTATCTACTTGATTCTGCTCAAGTTTCACACAAATGACTTAGTGGAGAATTGATAAACCAATGCCAAGATCTTTTACCAATGGTTTGATCAATCCCATTGAACCTCAAATTATCCATTTCCAAAACCCTGTCACGCTACTTCTACATACTAATCTAGGTTTCTCATCAACCTACCTCTTCTAAAATCTAATTTTCCCAGAAATTGAAACTACAGACATCGGATTGAGGAAGACGAACCGTCAAACGAAGAGGGACCTTGAAATAGCAGGAAATGAAACCAGGTTCGACTCGGCTGACTCGGATTCCTCTGAGACTAAAGTCCTCATAGAAGCTTTTTCCTTTCCCTAAGAACTCTTCCACTCGCGGTGCCTCATCGCTTAGTTGCAGATACTCCCTAATTTTCTCCATCATCGTCATCAACTTCCAATTTTTTTTTGGATAAATAAACAAATTAATTATTCATATTTTCAGGTACTTTGTTTGGGCCTTAGGCCCAACTTTTGCAATCGTTTATACGACGTCGTTAGTGTTTCGTTATTATAAATACAAGAGCATTTTTTTCTCAAATTATCAATTTCAAACTCACTTTTCAGTTAATTCGTTGCTGCTGACGTCACACGGCGATGGTTTTCCTCTCTGAAACTTCCGACGACGGATCTAATGGCGGCGATCCAACCAAGAATCTGCAAGAAGATAATCAAAACGAGAATCCTCAAGAAGTAGAAGAGCTACATAACGAGAATCCTCCGATTCCTCAAGAAGAAGAAGAGATACATAACGACAATCCTCAAGAAGTACTAGAAGAGAATCTTCCGATTCCTCAAGAACTCCCAATAGATATCATCGTGAGCATCGTCGCTCTTATCCCAAGATGTCATTACCCGTCGCTATCTCTCGTCTCCAGAGCCTTTCGTCAAGTAATCACTTCGCATGAACTCTACCTAACGCGCTCGAACCTCGGCTTCACCGAACCGGTTCTTTATGCGTTCATCGGATTCCCACCGTATATTCCTCCAAGCTGGTTCTTTCTTCGTCGGAGCAACTTAGGATTCCCATTACAATTACGCATAATCCGTTCACTTCCTCCAATGTTTCCTGCAGCTGCTGTGGTCACCATCGGATACAAGATCTACTTAATGGGTGGTTATAATTCCCTCGTCGAATATCGACCCGTATCGACTGTGGTTGTCATCGATTGCAGATTCCATACGTGGGGCTATCTCCAGAATATGCGAAGGGCTCGTTACCATGCAGCAGCCGGAGTATTTGACGGAAACATTTACGTAATCGGAGGCTGCAAGAAAAGAGATGATGATTGGGTCGAAGTGTTCAATGTGACGACTGAGACTTGGGCAACTGTGCCTAGTCAATGCCCTGAAGATGCTAGTGAGAATGGAGAGTTTATTACATATGTGGTGATGCAGGGGAGGATTTTCACTTTGGAGCTTGGGGGTTGTTTGGCTTACGAACCAGTACAAGGTTTATGGCAGTCATGGGGAGTATTAAGTGAGTTGATGAGATTTTGGCACCCGTCGTCGTCTTGTGTGGTTGGAGATTTGTTGTATGCACTTGATCTTACGTGTTCTCGTGGACATCCGATAGTGGTATATTATCCGAATGAATTGGTTTGGAGACCTGTGCAGGGTGTATATTCTTATAATTTGCCTATTCTGAGTTATAATTGGTCTAAGATGGCGAATTTTGGTGGGAAGTTGGTGATTTTGAGTGGTGGCTATTCTTTGTGGTTTAAAGATATTTGGTGCATAGAGATTGCGTTGGAAATACGTCAAGGAAATCAGATTTGGGGGGTGGTTGAATCAATCTCGCTTGTGTTTAGAGACGTGATGATGGCGCCTTCCATTGAGCTTTGTCGAACTGTTACTTTTTGATGATTCGATCGTGGCGGGTGGTTTATGTGGTGAGTTTGGACTATTGTTGATGAATTTATGTTGTTTCTTGAGCCTCAAGTCTTAGTTAGGCTTTCGTGAATATGCAGGTGAAGGATCTTTTATTACATCTACTGTTTTAGGAGCTTGTTGATATCAGAGCAACTATGGAGGAAAAGATGTTCAGAAGCTGTTATATCTGACACCTTAAAGAGTAACTCGTCTTTCTTTACCTTTGTGCACAATAGGCCGTTCTTGTTTTAGCCTTGAGTATAGTTCTTAAGCTAGTGTAAAATAGGCCATTCTTGTTTTAGCTATATATACTCTGTTTTTTTGTGCAATTGCACTAATATAACGAAACCTATTCTGCTTCTATACCATATGAGAGCTGAGAGAAAATATGAAATTTTGGTATAGAGATGACGCAAAATATAGTGATTTAGTTGACCGGTGGTTTTGTCTTTATGGGTAACTAAAAATATCGAAATGAGAAATAATACGAAGTCCTGAAGCTATCTATAGGCCATTATCTTGTGCACAATAGGCATTATCTTGTTTTACGAAACTTTTTGAAATGCATCTTTACTTAATTAGCTATCTTCTGGGGTTATTCACAAGGTCGAACAAATTCAAAATTGACTGAGTTTCTTCTAGTAATTCTGATATTCACCAAAAATCGTTACAAGAACTGAAATGGTTAAATCGACACTGATCCCTCACTATAATCTCTTTAATTCTCTCATAGATCTGAGATATTAGCTTAGCAACTGAATGACAATCTCCACGCACCCTTAAATTATCTATAACCCAAATCAGTCCACAGTTAATCTTCATCATTGATCTGCACAACCTTGTGACAGCTATGGTTATTGGTTCGTAACCATTCTATTCCAATCTCTCCATAATCGAATAAAGTAAAACAGCCAAAGGCATTGAGATTACCGGAATCTTCGTACCATAGAATCAGGTGTACACGCCATTTGAAAGACAAATTAGGGTTTCTAAGGTGAGAGAACAAAGAGACGTGACTCACACGTAATCACGTTGAGTGTTGTTTCATTGATTTTTTTATAGAATTTTTTCATTGGTGAACTTTTTATTAAGGCACAACACTTTAAAGAAAACAAAAAAAAAAATTTGAAATCAGTGTTTAAAATAATAATAAAAAACTTTGCTGATATAGTTTTTCAAGGAAAAAAATCACATGCAATTTTTTTTTTAATTGCATTTTTTTCAAATGTGTTTAGGACACTTTAGATATATAAGAATCTTGTTGTTTGTTTTTCGTAAAAAAAAAAGGTGAAAGTAGGTGAAGAAAAAACATTATAAAAAAAACTAATGTTTGAACGAGATTTAAGAATAAGAAGAAAAATGATTAAATATAATACAAAATACCATTTTCGATTTTTTTTTAATGATGCACACATTAAAACAAATAAAAAAAGGCTGTCAAAAAAAAAAAAATAATAATAAAAAATAAAAATAAAAAAAGAAGTATCTGAAAATCCGTAAACTCAGAGTATTTATGTACTCATTATGGATTCATTATAAATACTCAACATCTTTTTTCATAAGTCCAAATTAGTCTTGCTTTCCGTTCTAATTCGTTGCTGCTGAAATCACACAGCGATGGCTACAATCTCTGAAACTTCCAACGACGGTTCTAACGGCGGCGATCCAAACATGAAACCCGAAGAATCCCACAAGAACCCGCAAGAAGAAGAAGAAGAGAATCAAAACGAGAACCCGAAAGACGAAAATCAAGAAGACGATCATCAAGAAGAAGAAGTAGAGAATCTTCCTCCGATTCCTCGACAAATCCCACTAGAACTAATCGAAAAAACCATCGCACCCATCCGGAGATGTCATTACCCGTCGCTATCTCTCCTCTCTAACGCCTTTCGTCAAGTAATCTCTTCGGAGGATCTCTTCCAAACTCGCTCGCGCATCGGTTTGACTGAACCGGTTCTTTATACCTTAATCTCGTTCCCACCTTCTGATCCCCCAAGATGGTTCATTCTCCATCGGAGCAACGTCTCTCTAAAACTGACCAGAGTCACTTCTCTTCCTCCCATGTTTCGTGGATGCACTACCGTCACAATCGGACACAAGATGTACGTTATGGGTGGATGCAGGTCCTCCTCAAATCGACCAGTAAAGACTGTGTTCGTCATCGATTGCAGATTCCATACGTGGCGCTATCTCCCAAATATGGAAAGGGCTCGTTGCTACGCAGCCTCCGGAGTGATTGACGGACAGATTTACGTTGTGGGAGGTTGCACGAAACGACATGATGATTGGATCGAAGTGTTCGATGTGACGACTGCGACTTGGGAAACTGCGCCTGGTTTAGTATCCTCCCTTGCTAGGTCGCGTGCAAAGTTTGATGTACATGTGGTTTTGGATAATATGATTTACATTTTGGATGGTGAACATTGTTTGGGTTACAATCCAAGACTACGTAGATGGGAGACTTGGGGATTTGAAAGTCTGCAGTGGTATTTCTGGCACGCGTCTTGTGTGGTTGATGATTTGTTGTATGCCGTTGTTCCTAACTCGGTTCTTGGATCTCCCATTGTCGTGTATGATCCAAGGAAAATGGCTTGGAGACCTGTCTATGGTGTAGATTACTTACCTAATCTCGTTTATAGTGAGTCTAGATTGGCAAATTTTGGTGGGAAGTTGGTGATTTTGGGATGTTATCAAAGCCGGGATAGATTTGATTGTTACGGGGAAGTAAATGTTTGGTGCGTAGAGGTTGCATTGGAAAAACGTGAAGATGGTAATATTTGGGGGAAGGTCCAATCACTCTCGCTTGTGAATAAATTCCGCAAGTCTCCTTTCTTTGAGCTTTCTCGAACTGTTACGGTTTGATGATTCGTGTTGCAGTTGCAAGGTATGTTAATCTTTGATGAGTATTGACTATTGATGATGATGATGGTTATGATGTTTTCTTGAGCCTCAAGTCTTAGTTAGGGTTTCGTTAACTTGCAGGTGAAGGATCTTTCTTACATCTACTGTTTTAGCAGCTTGTTGATATGAAGCAAAAAAGTGGTGCAGAAGCTGTTTTAGCTACTTATCTTTTTATCTCACATTAAAGAGTACTCTTTAACAGAATTAGCCTTGTGTAGATTTCTTAAGCTGTGTATAAGTAGGCAGTACTTTTAGCCTTTATACAAAAACTCTTACGAAACTTGTGTAATGCATCAGTCAGTTAGTTCTTTTTACCATATGAGCGATATGAAACACTGGTTTAGAGATTAGCAAAACGAAGTGATTTAGTTAACCGGTGGGTTTGACTTTATGGGAAATTACAATGTCAAAGTGCAGATAGTACAAAGTCCTGATTGTTTGTACTTTGTATATCTCTTACCAAAATCTTAACATTAAAAGACCCACTGTGCATCAGTGCATGCTTCAAGTATATGAGCAAAATGAGTGAATTAATTCTTTGACCAACTATTTTTGGAAAAATTATATATAATATTTCCCTGAAAATAAAACTTCTATTGAAAAAAACTTGAAAAGAAAAGCAAGTAAAGATCCCTAACAATTCAACCTATTTTCGAATGAGTCACATTGTGATTATTCACACCTTTTATAATTCAATACAGCAGATTTTTAGTAGGTAAAGAAAAACACATTACAAAAAAAAATGATAATGTATAACGAACGAGACTTAAGAAGAAGAAAAATGATTTAATACAAAATATCTTTTTGGAATTAAAAAAAAAACTTTTTTTGAAATGAAGTTTCTGAATGCGTTACGTGCAATGAGAGATACCTAGAGAAATGACATTTTGGTTTCCTTACAAATACCCAATCAACATTTCTTTTTAATCTTTCAGTTAATTCGTTGCTCCTACTAATTAACGTCACACGGCGGCGATGGTTTTACTCTCTGAAAATTCCCGGCGGCCCTAATGGCGACGATCCAAACAATAATTTAATAATCTAGAATTGTCCAACAAAGCTATATTAATATTCTAGTCTTTCATACATGTTAATTTTTAATATGGTTTTCGATGTTAATATTTGCTAAATAGTATCTATTGGTTAAGGGATCCCTTTTCGTTAACGAAGCCACTAGAGTAAATAAAGGTTTAACGTTCTCTCGAAGTCATTAATTCACAAAGCACTTCTAATTCAAGATGCCATTTAAAAGATAATTTAGGGTTTCTTTGTAGATTAAAAAAAAAAAGATTTGTTAATAACACTTAAGAGACGTTTGACGACTCCATTTATATCGGTGAATTTTTTTCATGTAAACAACGTAAAAGAAACAAAAACTAGAAACCAGTGTTATAGAAATAGAAAAAAATTGCTTTGCTGATATTGTTTTCAAAAAAAAAAAAAAAAATCATTTGCAAGTTTTAGACTGAATTTCTTTCACCAACTGTTTTTGGAGAAAATACATGTATATTATTTCCCTGAATATATATTTTTCAATACACGAAAAATATATTTAATTAAAGATCCCTAACTTTTTTTTTTTTTCGAAAAAGATCCCTAAGAGCATCTCCAATGGTGTAAAAATGGAGCTCTCTTCATAGTTTTTCTCATTAAAAGTTGAAAAAAATAAATCAGAATGATTTATTTTTGAGAGAGCTGTCTCTCTTGAGAGAGATTTTGCAAGACAAGAGAGACGATGACGTGTCACGTTTTTATTGGTTGGTTCTTTTGACAAAACAGAAGAAAAAAAAAAACACGTAAAAAAAAAAACACTTTGCCCACGATAGCCGATGGAGAGTTCGCGTACTCGGACCCAACTGAATCGTTAACTGCGATTCCGGTGATTATGTCTGGTAACCTTCATCAACGTGTCTTCGTGTTCGACGGAGTCTGTCATCTTTGCCATGGAGGTACAATACTTTTCTGTTTCTCTATTTAGTCGTAGAAGAACAAATCCGCTTTCTCAAGGATCATTTAGTGGTTTATTGATTGATTTCGCCTATTGATCTGGTCTACGTTTGATGAGATTGATTCGGTTGTAGTTGATTTTTAGTCTTGTTCTGCGAAATTGGGGAAAAAACGAGATCAAATTTCACGGGATGGGGTAAAATTACGTGTGTAATCGTGGTATCTGAGAGTTCGTGACGCTGGAGTGATTTCTTTTTCATGTTTCTTTAGGATGACTTCGCTGAGGTTACATAGTATGAGAAGAAGAAGCCTAAGTCACAGAAGCAAACTATTGCTAAGAAAGGTGGGTGTTTTCTTGAAATATTGTTTGAGATTGATTTGAATCTGCATCTGCAATGAAAAGACTTGAGTTTTCATATTGATTTAGATTTGCTAAGATTATAGTGGCTTAAGTTGCTAAATCAATTGATTGATGATAGTTATACGTTTGTCATACTACAGTTTCTTTTTTCAATGTATGCATATAATTTACTCAACTATCTACCTCAATAATTTATTCAGAGGACTTATGTAGTAATGTGTACATCTAGCTTAGTTAGGCTTCTTCTTATCCCTTTGCTTCTTCATCGTTGACTCATCTTCTTCCTCTGAGACATGGCCTATTTATTCTTTTCATCTTTCTCTTCTTCTTGTCGCTGACTCCATCTTCCTCTTTATAGGTTATCACTGTTAGAGTTGAATCCTTTGATCATTGGCTGCTGCTAAAGCTTGAGATTAATGTGTGTGGAGGACTTGTGATACATGCCGCCATTTGATGCATCCATGGAAAAGAAGTCATCATTGGTGAAAATAGAGAAGGATGGTTTGTTTTTTGAGAAGTCATCATTGGTTCTCATTGGCAACATATTGGTTTTGCTGGTTCTCATTAGCGTTACTCATGTTGCATCTAAGCTTAACACACATCAACCATCATTATTCACAAACGATATAATAACTATGTTGACTGAATAATAAACAAGTAAACAATAAATAATAAACATGTACCACAAATAATTTATGAAAATTGTGTACCACGAATAAGTTAGAATGAATGTGTACCACAAAAATATGTTCGTCGAATTGTCTAATGGCGAAGAGGTGGCAAAAAAAAAAAGGAAACGAGCTTATTTTGACAGAAAACGCGAAGAAGGAGAAAATTTCGCAACAATCAACAGAATAACTAATCGTTTTTTTTTTTTTACAAATTTATTTTCAAATGTATGAAATTATTGTATGTTTAATATGTTATGAATTGTAATATTTTTTCAGTTTTATGAAATAAAATAATTAAAATAATAATTTAATTTTTTCCTGAGAACCCCACAAAGAGAGCCTACCATTGGACTTTGCAAAATTAAAAAAATTTAACAAAAGCTCTCATCTCATAAATTTGAAAATTTTATTCTTAAAAAAATGGTGAGAGCCCATGGAGGGCTCTCACCATTGGAGATGCTCTAACAGTTATTCCTTTTTCTTTTATAATAGTATCCCTTCTCTAATTTCGAATAAATTACGTTGTGATTATTCACACATTTTATCATTCAGTAAAGCAGATATTAAAAAAAAAGTAAGTAAAGAAAAACACGTTAAGTGTTAAAAAAAGAAAAAAAAAAGAAAAGAAAAACACATTTCAAAAAAATATGAAAATGTCTAACGTACCTAGAGAAAAATGATTTAATACAAATTAATATCTTTTTGGAATATTTTTAAAAATGAGATAAAAATAAATAAATAAAAAACTTTTTTTTGAAATGAAGTTTCTGAATGCGTTACGTGCAGTGAGAGATACCTAGAGAAATGACATTTTGGTTTCCTTATAAATACCCAAACAACATTTCAGTTAATTCGTTGCTCCTACTAACGTCACACGGCGGCGATGGTTTTACTCTCTGAAATTCCCGGCGGCCCTAATGGCGACGATCCAAACAATAATCCTCAAGAAGAAGAAGATAATCAAAACGAGAATCCTCAAGAAGTAGATGAGAATCCTCAAGAAGAAGTAGAAGAGAATCCTCAAGAAGAAGAAGAAGATAATAATCAAAACGAGAATGCTCAAGAAGAAGTAGAAGAGAATCCTCAAGAAGAAGTAGAGAATCTTCCGATTCTTCTAGAACTTCCAGAAGATCTCATCGTGAGCATCGTCGCTCTTATCCCAAGATGTCATTACCCGTCGCTATCTCTCGTCTGCAGAGCCTTTCGTCAAGTAATCACTTCGCATAAACTCTTCGTAACGCGCTCGCTCCTCGGCTTCACCGAACTGGCTCTTTATGCCGTATACTCCCCCAAGCTGGTTCTTTCTTCGTCGGAGCAACATCCCTTTACAATTACGCAGAATCCGTTCACTTCCTCAAACGTTTCCTGGAGCTGCTATCGTCACAGTCGGATACAAGATGTATGTAATGGGTGGTTACATCAGCTTTGATGAACCTGTATCGTCGACTGTGATTGTCATCGACTGCAGATTCCATACTTTGAACCATCTCCCGTGTATGCGAAGGGCTCGTTGCTGTGCAGCCGCCGGAGTAATTGACGAAAACATTTATGTGATCGGAGGCTGCAAGAAACAAGATGCTGACTGGGTCGAAGTGTTCAATGTGACGACTGCGACTTGGGCAACTGTGCCTAGTCAATGCCCTAACGATGCTAGTGAGAATGGAGAGTTTGATACATATGTGGTGATGCAGGGGAGGATTTTCATTTTGGATCTTGAGTGTTGTTTGGCTTACGAACCAGGACAAGGTTTATGGCAGTCATGGGGTGTTGCAAGTGAGTTGATGAGATTTTGGCAGTCGTCGTCTTGTGTGGTTGGAGATTTGTTGTATGCACTTGATCTTACGTGTTCTCAACATCCGATAGTGGTATATTATCCGAATGAATTGGTTTACACCTGTGCTGGGTGAGTATTCTTCCCATTTGCATATTCTCAGTAACTATCGGCCCAAGATGGCGAATTTTGGTGGGAAGTTGGTGATTTTGGGCAGCTATCCTAGACGGTTTCACGGTATTTGGTGCATAGTGATTGCGTTGGAAACACGTCAAGGAAATCAGATTTGGGGGATGGTTGAGTCAAGCTCGCTTGTGTTTAGGGCCGAGATAATGATGCCTTACATTGAGCTTTGTCGAACTGTTATGGTTTGATGATACGCTTGCAGGTATGTTTCTGTGATGAGTTTGGACTATTGATGTGAATTTATGATGTTTCAGACATTTGCTTTAGCCTCAAGTCTTAGTTATGAAACTTGCAGGTGAAGGATCTTTTTATTACATCTACTGTTTTAGCAGCTTGTTGATATGAAGCAAAAGTAGTGCAGAAGCTGTTATATATCTGACACCTTATTGAGTACTTCGTTCTTCTTAACTTTTGTCCACAATGTGATTACTCTGAGATAATTAGCCCTGTGTAGAGTTGGCCACTCTTTTAGCCTTCTATACAAAAATTCTTATGAGACTTGTTGAAACGCATCTTTAGTCTCTTGGGTCCCAACTTCTTCATGTTTACTTTTAGATATATAACTTTTGTACGTGTAAATAGCAGCTGAGTTTACAATAATGAAACCTAATCTGCTTCTACTATATGAGCAATATGAAAGATCTTGGTTTAGATATATATGAAGCAAAACAGAGTGATTTAGTTAACCGGTGGTTTTGACTTTTGACTCTATAGGTAAACTATAATATCAAAGTGAAAACAAATAACTATATGGGTTTCGTTCTATCATAAAACTGAGAGGTATTACTCTATTAGCTTGGTAACTAATGAATGACAATCTCCACACACCCTTAGATTCTTGATAACCTGAATCACCTTTGGAGTTTCTGTTGATATCAGTCCACAAGATTAAGAGACTGTGCCTTCATTTCTTCTTCATCGAGGATCTCCAGAACTTTTAACCATTCTTTTTCGATCTCTCCATATAATCGAATAAAGTAAAACAGAGAAAGACATTGAGATTACCGGAATCTGCGGACTTCAGAATCCTTTTAATCAGTGTCCCAGTCAAGACGACGAACAAAGAAATTGAATTCAACATTTGTGTACGCTATTTGAAAGACAAACGAGGGTTTCTAAGTAGAGAGCACAAAGAGACTTGTGAGTCAAGTAATCACGTCGATAGACATTTGAATCAATTTTTAAACATTTTTTTCATTGGTGAATTGTTATTCAGGTTAAGGAGCTTAAAAGAAAATTAATAATTAGAAACTACTGTTTTAAAAAAAAAACTACTATAGTTTTCCAAGAAAAAATTACATTCAAATTTCAAAGTGGATTTCTTTTTATAATCAAAGTGAATTTTTTTTTTACCAATTGTTTTTTTCAAAGAAATTTTATATATAATATTTCCGATGATATTGAAAATATTATTTAAGTGATGAAAATTAAAACACATTAAATGATAATGATTTCATACATTAATGTATTAGAAAGAGATTTAAGTACATTAATGTATTAGAAAGAGATTTAAGAAGAAGAAAATAATGATTTATTACACATTATCATTTTGATTTTTATTTCTGATGAACATATTTTTTCTAAAACGAGTTTCTGAAATTCCGTGAAATAAGAAAGTATTTATTTAGTCATTATGCTTTCATTATAAATACACAACGTACTCTTACGTAACAGCTTCTTTCAAAACTCAAATCTAGTCTCGCTTTTCGTTAATTCGTTGCTGCTGACGTCACACGGCGATGGCTTCAATCTCTGAAACTTCCGGCGACGGCTCTAACGGCGGCAATCCAAACATGAAACCAGAAGAAGAACCCCACAAGAAAGAAGAAGAAGAGAATCAAAACGAGGACGCGAAAGAAGAAGATCAAGAAGACGATCAAGAAGATGAAGAAGTAGAGAATCATCCTCCGATTCCTCGAGTAATCCCACCAGAACTAATCGAAAACACCATCGCACTCATCCGGAGATGTCATTACCCGTCGCTATCTCTCCTCTCTAACGCCTTTCGTCAAGTAATCTCTTCAGAGGATCTCTTCCAAATTCGCTCGCGCATCGGTTTGACCGAACCGGTTCTTTATACCTTGATCACGTTCAAGTACCCAACTTTTGAAGAACCAAGATGGTTCATTCTCCATCGGAGCAACAACTCCTTACAATTGAACAGAGTTACTTCTCTTCCTCCCATGTTTCTTGGATGCACTGCCGTCACAATGGGACACAAGATTTACGTAATGGGTGGTTATAACCTCCGCTATAATCGAGCCGTAGGGACTATGCTTGCCATAGATTGCAGATTCAATACGTCTCGACAGCTCCGGAGTATGAAGAGGGATCGTTGCTACGCAGTCGCTGGAGTGATCGACGGAAGGATTTACGTAGTCGGAGGACGCGAGAGACGAATTAATGATTGGGTCGAAGTGTTCGATGTAGAGACTGAGAGATGGGCACTTGTGCCTGGTCCATTCTCTCCCATTGCTAGTTCTAGTGGAGAGTTTGTTACACATGTGGTTTTGGATAATAAGATTTACATTATAGATGGTGATTTTTGTTTTGCGTACGATCCAAGACAACGTACATGGCAGACTTGGGGACCTGAAAGTGTACAGAGGAGGTTTTGGCACGCGTCGTCTTGTGTGGTTGATGATTTGTTGTATGCCACTGTTCCTCGGGAGATTGTTGGAGTTCCAATTGTCGTGTATGATCCAAGGGAAGTGGCTTGGAGACATGTCAAGGGTTTAGAGTTTTGGCCTAATCTCGTTTATATTGAGTCTAGAATGACGAATTTTGGTGGGAAGTTGGTGATTTTGGGATGTTATCAAAGCCGGGATAGTGTTGATTATAACGGGGAAATAGATGTTTGGTGCGTAGAGGTTGCATTGGAAAAACGTGAAGATGGTGATATTTGGGGGAAGGTCCAATCACTCTCGCTTGTGAATACATTCCGCAAACCGCCTTTTTTTGAACTTTCTCGAACTGTTACGGTTTGATGACTCGTTTGCAGTTGCAAGGTATGTTAATCTTTGATGAGTATGTACTATTGATGATGAATTATTATGTTTCAGAAGGTTTCTTGAGCCTCAAGTCTTATTTAGGTTTTCATAAAGTTGCAGGTGAAGGATCTTTTATTACATCTATACTATTTGAGCAGCTAGTTGGTATCAGAGAAAAGTAACTCAGAAGCTGTTACATCTTACACCTTGAAGCGTAACTCGTCCGATGCTTCTTAACTTTTGTGCACAATATGATGTGAAAACTCTTACAGAATTAGCGTTGAGTAGATTTCTAGCCTTGTCTAGAGTTGGCCACTCTTTTAGCCTTTTATACAAAAATTCTTATGAGACTTGTTGAAATGCATCTTTAGTCTTTTGGGTGTCAACTTCTTCCTGTTTGCTTTTAGATTATATAACTTTTGTGTAAGTAAGCAGATTAGTTTAATTTACACTAATGAAACCTAATCTGCCTCTACTATCTGAGCAATATGAAATCTTGGTTTAGATATGAAGCAAAACAGAGTGATTTAGTTAACCGATCGATGGTTTTGGTTTTATGGGTAACTACAGTATGAAAGTGTGGAATTACAAAGTCCTGATGAAAGCTGAAGTTATCTATATAGAATATAGAAAAAGAGAAGATTATATTGTTTGTATGAAACGCTGTTTTCATTTTTAAAAGACTCACTGTGCTTCAAGCATATGAGAAATATAAAAGCAAGACAATCCGGTTCATTTCACTTCATGGATGCACTACCGGCCGTCACAACCGGACATTGATGATGATGATATTATGATGTTTCTTTAACCTCAAGTCCTAGTTAGGCTTTCATTAACTTGCAGGTGAAGGATCTTTTCTTACATCTATTGTTTGAGGAGCTTGTTGATATGAAGCAAAAGTGGTGCAGAAGCTGATTTAGCTACTTATCTATTTATCTCACATTAAAGAGTACTCTTTAACAGAATTAGCCTTGTGTAGATTTCTTAAGCTGTATAATAAGTAGGCAGTTCTTTTAGCCTTTATACAAAAACTCTTACGAAACTTATTGTAATGCATCAGTCAGTTCTTTTTACCATATGAGCAATATGAAACATTGGTTTGGAGATTAGCAAAACGAAGTGATTTAGTTAACCGGTGGGTTTAACTTTATGGGAAATTACAATGTCAAAGTGCAGAAAATACAAAGTCCTGATTGTTTGTACTTTGGTCTTTGTATGTAACATTTGTATCTCTTACCAAAATCTTAACATTAAAAGACCCACTGTGACATTGTATATGAACAATATGAAATCTTGGTTTAGAGATGTGAAGATGCCAAGATGGTTTGGGAGCAAAACAAACTGGTTTACTTAAACCGGTGGTTACTATCTTATCTGATAGTGATTACAAAAACCCGAATTTATATTTAAAAAATGATTTTCCAAAACATTTATTAATCTCAACTCTGCACAACCTATGACATCTCTGGTCTGGTTCGTAACCATTCGATTTCAATCTCCCCATAATCGAATACAGTAAAACAGGAAGGCAGTGAGATTACCAGAATCTGTCCAGTGTGTAGACAAATTAGGGCATCTAAGGTAAGAGAACGTTGCGACTTGAGTCACGTAAGCGTTTAGACTTGAGAGTCGTTTGATTCAATTTTTATAGGTTTTTCGTTGTTGAATTTTTATTATGGTAAAACAAAAACTTTGAATAAAACAAAAAAATTTAGAACCCAGTGTTTAAAATAATAATAATAAAAAAACTTTGATGATATAGTTTCGGAAGGAAAACAAAAATCACATGCAAAATATAACAAACCATCATTAAAAATTATCAAAATATAATATATTTTTGGTTAATATAAACTTATAAAAATCGTCCAAATCCTAAAGAGAAAAGGATTATCTTAAACGAGACTTCGGGTCTATATAAATAATAGGGTAAATTGCATGGCAGGGCAGAAGACCAACTTTTATTTTCATGGTTTGGCAAAGTGAGAATTAGTTCTCAAATTTTGATACTTTAGCCAAATTCTGACCATTTTACCCCTGCCAGCGTAACGATGTACTGTTCACTGTACGGTTTAGTTATGCGGTTTAGTTACGTACACTGTTCCGGTTAGGCAATATATTTTCGTTTTAATTTCTGCGGCTGCACAGTAAAATAGGGATTAATAACATTAAAAAACAATGAGACATCAGTATTTAATGCCCAAAAAGTTTAGACATGACTCATGTCACAATTAATGCAAAAGGCATCATTACTTTTTCTAATATTAATTTATATGTGTGAATAGTTGTAAGAGATAAACATGATCCATCAAACAAACAAATTAGTCTGAACGAATGTGATGCTGGAGAAGTTTTGATCTTCTTGATTTACAAAGCTTGGAGCCAAGACAAGCATTGATCGTGTAAGTAATGAAATTGGTTAAGAAGTTTTTTGTTATAACACACTAGGGTCTTGATTGTGTTCGAAATCAACATTGTTTTTATATAAAAACCCATAATATTTTTATTTCTAATTTTTTTAGTTGAAAATGCTAAATGAGGATAGATTTATGTATATAAGTGTGTAGTTGAGAATTCTTTTTGTTTTTTGTAGATATAATCATGCTTTCATTTGCATTTAATGGGGTTCTGCTGAATTTATGATGCAGGTGTGTAATGGATATTCCCGTATTTACTATGGTGGGTGAGTGGAGATGCAAAGAAGAAGAATGGTAATTTGAACCATGGAAAGACTGGTTTGGTCGTTGTGTACGTGTTAAGGAAAACATGACGTACACGGAATTTGTACGTACATTATCCGAGGTTTTCAGTTCGAAGTCCACCGAATGCAATCCAATAATTAGTAACTGGATGCCGGGAAAGATGTCAGTGATGATAGAAAGTAAACGCCCTCCTGTCAATATTGACAATCAAATGAGCCTGGATACCTTCTTTTTGATTCGTGGTGGGATCCTAGTGTCACCTTGTTTGTCTCTTTCATTACAACCGTCAAGGCACTCGGGAATATTGTCCCTAGGACCGATGGTGACGATGGTGAGAGTTACCGTGTGTGTGGGAGTGCAACGACACCAAATCCCATCGTAGCGGCTTCAAATGTAGATGGAAATAATGAGGCCGTAGATGAGCAAAACGACGTTGAAGACGATAAAACAGATGATGATGAAGAAGAGGAGGACAACGAAGATGGTGCTGGGTATGATGATTATCAGGGTGATGATGGATCTATGGGGGAAAGTACTCTCGAT